CTGACCATGTAGTGGAGGCTCCCCCAGGATTGCACTGGAGTGTCAGCCTTGACTTTGTGAGTTCAAAGGACTGACGTGGGACTTGAACCCGTACGCTTCTGACTCAGAGGAGAGAGTGCTTTCAACTGAGCCAGCCAGGCTTGCGTTCTTTTAATGCAGAACAGAAGAAAATTAGGGAAGAGAGAAACAGAGACTGGGTGGGGTGGGGAGTGAGGGAGAGATGGAGAAAAATTGAGTCTAATGTTTGTTGTTGAGGGTTTTGTCATGTTTAGCATTAGTTTGACTGAAGCTTTTGAAGTGTTTACATCGTTGATCAATAAGTGCCGTTTTCCTTTGTCTTGTGGTGTTTGGGGAAGCGAAGGGAGTAAATTATACATTTTTAATGAGCTTCCTACTAAACAAATTGAACAGCCTGGTGAATGGCAGCAGGTTAGGGGGTGGGTGGTGGAGGGGAAGATCGGGTGCGGTGAGGGGGTGGTGGGGAGTTGCCAGAATTCCTGCTGTTTAGAGGCAATAAGATCCATTCATTCTGTTGTGTGTGTGTGTGTGCGTTCGTTTTTATTCTTTTTTAAAAATTATTTTTTTAAAAAAATTGGTAGATGATTGATTTTAAAACGCTTGGAACCAGAGGGGCGGAGGCTTTGGGATCGTTTCCAGCAATAAAACCAAATGAACGTTAATATTTAATGTGATTGTGGAATCGGTCCGATTTATGTAACAAAGAGCAGACACACGCATCAGAGCCTGATGGCACCAGATCAGTCAGCCCCGTTACCATGGTTAACATTCCCAGGAATATAACTCTCTCGGGGACAAGTGAAACCTGAGCGGTTCCAAGTCTTTCTGTCAGAGTTATTGACGTTTGCAGACGCGCTGGTTTGTATTAGAATCATAGAATTATACAGCACAGGAGGAGGCCATTCGGCCCATCGTGTCTGAGCCGGTTCTTTGAAAGACCTTCCAAATTACTTCCCCCGCTCTCTCCACATAGCCCTGCAAATTTGTCTTTCCCAAATATCCAACAACTTCTATAATAATAATAAAAATAATAATTATTAATAATAATCTTGCATTTGATATAACGCCTTTACCACTAAGACAACATTGCAGACCGCTTCACTGGATTTATATATATATATATATATATATAATACACACATATATATATATAAACAACCTTGAAGTGAGTGATCAATTTGATCTGGGGGATTGATGGCCAGGACCCTGGGGAGAAATTTCCTTCTCTTTTTTTGAATAGTGCCATGGGATCTTTAGCGTTCAACTGAACAGGCAATTGGGACCTTGGTTTAATGTCTCGTCCGATGGATGGCATGCAGCACTTGTCCAGCATTATTCTGGAGTATCAACCTGGTCTGTGTGAGTTCAAAGTCCGAACTTGGGGCTTGAACCCACAACCCACGACCTTCTGTGTTAGAGGCGAGAGACGTTGAGACGTCTCAAAGCGCTTCACAGAACATACTGTAAAGTGTAGTGACTGTATATTTTGTGGATGAAAATGTTCTGGTCGAAACGTGGCAGCTAACTGAGTAATTGAGCTACACAGATACTAAAGTGTACTATTAACCCTAATCTGCTAACACTGAACGTGAGCAATAATAATAACAATTAAATGATAATTATTATTTACTAATAACAGTCATCAGCAGCTACTTTTCTTGCACTACCAGCTTGTAGTCTGAGACAGTGACGGGGTTAATCCATGTAGCCAGTGTCATGTGTGGAGCCAGGGTCTGGATTGCTAATATTTCCCTCATATAGCATTTTTATGACTCCAAGTAATCCCTTTGCTTCGAGACATTTGATAATTCCGTCAATAACCATCTTCTCTGCGCTAATCCGTTACAGGATCCTACATCGGAGATAGACTTTCATTGTACTTTCAGGCAGAGAAGGAAAGGCACTTGATAATGCTTCTGTTTCAAACTCTGACCTTCCACAAGTCCAAGTAATGACACCAATGACACTGTCGGTGTCTGTTTCCGATAATGTGCAAACGTTAAGGAAATTGCACTTTGTCATTGACGGCAAATGTTGTCTGCCTCGGTCAGCCGCTAACTCTCTGGTCTCCGTGTCAGAAGGTGGTGGGTTCAAGCCCCACATTTGAGCTCATGGTTTTTGCTGAAACGTCAGTGCTGTGGTAGAAGGTTGCATCGTAGGAACTGCTGTACTTCAGGTGAGATATTAAACCCACAGCCATTAATAGCAAAGTGAAATTTCCTTAACTCTCCACATTATCAGAAATATCCACCAACAGTGCCGTTATTGTTATTATTATTGGCGGCGTCTCAAAGATGTGATAAGGCTCTGTATCAAATGCAGGGTTAAGCGATAGATTTGAGCTTCTGTTTAGATTTTGGTGGAATGAAACCATTGATTGCCATTCGATGTCTTGTCAAAAGACCCTCAAACATTCTTCCAGTATTTGCGACGAGTCTCTGCAGTGAGGACATGCAAAATCAATAGCAATAAACTTCAGATTATTTCCCAGAATAATGAGGGATTCAGTTACACGCTTACAAGATTGGAAACTGTTTCGTTGAAGAAGCTTTTAGCAGGGGATCGATCAGAGGTTCGATCAATGCGATTAACTTGCAATCTCTCTCTGATTACACGACTAAGTAAAGGCACGGATTTCACCCAAATTTAGTGATCACGTTCTTTAATGTTTAACACTTTATCAGCCTGATTCGTGAAGTCCAGTCACCTTTCAGCTTTTTTTTTTAAAAAAAAGGGCCACCACAGTATAGTATAGGGTTTTGGGAACAAATATTGATTTAATAATAATAATAACAAAAGGTAATAATCCTTGCATTTGATATAGCACCTCATCGCGTCATTGAGTCCGTCGCCACAAAACGCTTGACAGAATATATGGTAAAGTGGATTGACTGTGTATCTTGTGGGCGAAACGTGGCAGCTGATCCCACAGTGGTTTTTCAAAAAAAAATGTGATTTATATTTGGATCGTTATCGCTACAAAATGCACAATCACTACACTTTACGCTATGTCCTTATTGAATGTAAGGATTACTATTATTTTGACTGCAGTGGAGTGTCTGTTTACACTGAGGTCCCAGTCCCGGTATGGAGTTTGGGCTCTGAACACAAGCTTCTGGCTCGGAGGCGAGGGAAGTGGGTGTTAAAGACTGAGCCAAGCTGACACACACCATGAGTGATGTGCTGGATCCACCTCCAAACATATGTTAAGGATCGGTAAGAACTGAGTCCATCACTTCAACACAGTCGCCTGGTTCAGATTCTCGGTGTTAACCTGATACAATGGACTGGAACTGAACTCGCGTCACAGTAAGTGCAATGCACTTTAATTCGGAGTTGCTGTCGCCTTGGAACCGTGTTAAAAGCTGCCTCGGCGCTCCGCCACACCGCGCTCTCCCTCCTTTCTCTTCGTATCAGGCTGTTGCGCTCTGGGACCCTAAATCCGCCTGAGGGGCGCTTCATAAGTACAAGTTGTTGTTGGCTTTACTTGGCCAGACTTCCTTTCGCCCAGGGTTTTTTTTTTCTTGTGAACTGAATCATTATTTAGCTTTGTTAGGGTCTCAGATGCCAACGGAAATATTTGGGGATTTTCAGCAGGTGGGGGGGGGGGAAACGTGTGCCAGTCAGTAACTAAGGGGCAGATGTGGGCCGATAATAAATGTCCAGTAATTCGCCAAGTTGCTATGGTGCTCAGACCTGCAATACTACCTTTTATGCACTTAAATGATTTGCACATCACAGGACTCACCTCCGCCTTGGCAGTTTGATCGCCGAATCGGTGAAAACGTCAAAGAAAGAGGCTAAGAAATTGTAGCCCGAGGGTAAAATATATATTCTTTCTGGCAAAGATTCATAAGTCGCAATGAATGCAGCGGCTAAATTGGACATGGCTTTTCCATCCCCCGGACGTGCAGCAATAAAAGGACTCGACGATTGGTAATGAGATGCCACGAGAGAGACATCATTTCCAAGCAAAATAAAAGTTGTAGCTCCCAAAGCTTGATCAGTGATGGTTGGTAAGGTGGCGGGGGTGGAGGGGAGAGGGTGGAAATACTAATTGCTCCCCTACCCCTCTCGGGCTCCCAATTGTTGGTGCTGCATCCATTCGTAAATCCACCGATAACTCCAAACCGAATAAAAAAATAAAAAAAAAATTTGGAATCATTTATAAAAGAACTAAAATAAATGCACAAGTCAATCCACTTTAAGATATAGTCTGTGAAGCGCTTTGAGACGTCTCAACGAGGCGATAAAGCGCTACATCAAACGCAAGGATTATTATTTTTATTATTATTAAGCACAAAAGTGTTCCCTCCATTTCAGACAAATGTTATTTTTCTGGCCTGGAGAAATACTGCTCTAGTTTTTATTAGGTGTTGCTATGGAGATGGTGTCGGAATAGCAGGTTTAATACTGGACCGCAGTGATTCATAAGGGCCCAAGGGAAATCTGCCCTGATTACCTGGAGTGAAGCATCCTCTCCCTTTCGTATAAACCAGGGATTACACGTTGGCTTTGAAAATAAATCAGCTTCCTTCCTATTTACACAAAGGGACAATGAAACCGACCCGATTGCCATTTCTCACATGTTAGATTTTTATTTGGTCTGACATTCGGGGGAAACTCATCACCGGGTTTACGACTCTCCAAACCTGACTGAGAGCTTCACGTATGCACGTCAACTTCTTGTGGAAACTTCTTATAGTGATCATAATAATAATAATAATAATCCTTGCATTTGATGTAGCGCATTATCTCGTCTTCGAGCGATCTTCATCTCAAAGTGGTTTGACGGTCTATTTTGTGGGCGAAACGTGTCCATTTAAAGGGAAAATGGTTTGAGACGTGATAAGGCGCTACATCAAATGCAACGATTATTATTATTATTAAATGGTTTCTCGTTGGTCTCTCTTCAGTCGCTGCTTCTTTTCGAAATTAGTGATAAAAATGAGTTTGTGGCTTAGGTGCTGGAGGAACTCAGGATGTCTGGTTCTACATACGATCATCTGGTGAGGCAGGTCCAAGCCCTGAAGAAGGAGAACTGCCACCTACGCCGGGAACTGGAGGACAACTCGAGCCACTTGTCCAAGCTAGAGGTGGAGACCTTGGATATGAAGGTGAGGATCTTTCTTCTAACTCACTCTGGAGGTTTATGCTCATTGGCATTCGCATCGACTGAGGGCTCCAGGGAACAATTCACGTCAGCGTTGGCCATTGCTCAGGCAGTAATCCTTTTCTGAACATCTCATGCAAGCTGAACCCTTCCAAAGTTTGTCTCCACCATCGGCGGTCGGGCCTTCAGCATCCCTGCCCCCACCCTTTCCAACTCCAACCCACAGTCCCTTTGTCTCGCTCTGTCCCTTGCATCTTTCAAGGCCTCTCTCAAGACCCTCCTCTTCGACCGCACCTTCGGTCACCCTCCTTACCCCCACCCTCCCTGCCGTCTACCCCTCCTGATCCCAGCCCCCCCCCAGCTTGGGTTCAAATCCTTGACTGTCCAGTGCCTAGGGACGTCCTCCTGACGTGAAAGGCGCTATACAAATGTAATTTGTTATTGTTGTTGCTGTTGTTTCACTCTGACCAACTCTCCCCCCATTTAATGTTGATGTTGGGAAGTTGAGCAGTTCCAGGAAGCAGCTTTCCGTGATGTGACATTCGGAGCAGCATCATTGTTGGGGGGGAAATAATTTTTGTGTGTACAACATTAGATTTGAATAGACTAAAATAAAATACAGTGAAATAGATGGGCAAAGTCTCCGAACATAGCTTTTTTTTTTATACAAACTTGCGTTTGTATAGCACACTTCCCTTAGGCCACATCTCACTTTAGCAAAAGACAATTAAATTCCCGATACCATCCTATACTTTCAAAGTATCACAGCTTAATTTAGACAGAATGACTCTGTGTGCTTGGTATCTTTTCTGTGGGAAGTTCTGCGTTCAGTTTTGCTTTATAAAGCGAGGCTTTGGGATATCCAGTTGTTGCCATGGATCTCTGCGTTCTTTCTTGTTGACTGTTAACTGGGTGCTTTGTGGAGTAAAGATTAACTGCTCGGCTCATAAGACTGGATACTTCCGAAAGTTTGATTCTTTGTGGGCGTGGGAACCTCACTGTAGGTTCTGGCCTGTACCAGTGTTTTGTCAGTGATATGGTTGTCAGGATAGCACTGCTGAGATGTCCCGATGAATTTCGTGCCTTTGATTATTTTTGTCTGTTTCTTACTGATTTGAGATACTGAAACAAGGAGCATAGAAATGGGTCGAAGCGATGAGGGGGGTGGGGAGAGGTTTGGGATCAGGGAGTGGAGGAGGGTGACCGAAGGCGCGGTCAAAAAACGGAGGATCTTGAGACTTGCCTTGAAGGAGATGAAGGGAGGGAGCCAGGCAAAATCCTTCCATTGGATATGGAGCCTGATCACGTCTTCGAGACGTCTCAAAGCGCTTCACATTATATTTTGTGGGCGAAACGTGACAGCCAGTTGCGCACAACAGTATCCCACAAGCAGTCGTGGATTGAATGCCCGTCTGTCCATCTACAGAGGAAATTTGCCCACAAATATACGGTCAATTCACTTTACAGTCTATTCTGTGAAGCGCTTTGAGACGTCGAGAAGACGTGAAAATCGCCATATCAAATGCAAGGATTATTATATTATTATAAGAAGGGGAAATGGATTTGGAGTGATTCGTTGATCCTTTGGGATGCCCTCCTGATGTGAACTCCTAAGTGCTCTGAGACGCTGTCCGGTGTGAAGGGCGCTATTATAAATCCAAGTTGTTGTTGTTGTTGTTGAAAGGTGCTATACCAAATGCAAGGATTATTATCATTGTCTTTTCCACAAGCCTCACCTTTCGATTGATCTGCAAACCTTGGAGCAAATATTCCTGTGGTTATTACTATGCGACTGGAGGGATGGGGGGGGGGGGAAAGGCGGGGGTTAGGGAAGGGGTTTGCATAGAAAATCTCAGACGCAACTACAGAGGATTCAATAACGTCTTGTGCCATTAGTAGAGAAGCAGTAATGGAAGGGAAATTCATGGGCTAAGTCGATGCTTCATTTAACAGCATGAGATTCTCGCTGGCAAGCTTTTGCAAATAGATACTCATTATTCTCCGTCAATTCTGTGGAAGATGCATCAAATATACATGAGTGCCAGGCTTAGGCAGTCTGACTGTCATCTCCATGCTGATTACATGGGTCGTTCGGGATTCAGCGGCACACAGCATTGATTCAAGAACGTTGAGGAAAGCTTGTAATAATGTATTGCTTGAATTAGCATTGCTGTGTGTGTGACAGATGGTTTGCTACACCCGTCTACGCTTACCCTCTCTCCTCGTATACCATCTGTGTTTGGCTTCAGTCGTTGCACTATGCAGATCAGTTAACCAGTTAGCTCTGGTGTTTCAGTCTCGTGCCTTTGGTTCCTGGGCTGGATGGAATTTTTTTTGAGTCGCGATCCACACATAATTCAACATGTGATCGTGAAATATTTATCCCATCGGTGAATTTCATTGAAGAAATGGAAAGCGAGATCTCTTTCAAAAGTCCTCGAGGGACCAATTAATTCCCAGCGAGATGTTTTTCGATATTTCTCACAGTTAACCAAAATATAAAGTCATTTTTTTAAAAAAAATGAAGTTAGGAAACAAAACTTGTCACCAAATTTCATTGCTGTGCTGTAACAGTAAAACTTGCATAAGTCTGATCCGCATAAATCGTATAATTGTCTAAATCCTAAATCTGCCCACGACCTGTTCAAGAGTTCGTATGCGATGCAAGTTTGACATAACTTTTACTTTGCATAAGTCATATTAATTGTACGGTCCCAACTGATACGATTTATTAACAAACCCTTAGAAAATAGGAAAGCCAGAGAAGAGTTTCTCATCAAATTGACCCTGTGGAATATCAGTCATTTATTCTGATTAAACCACCTTCTGCGAATATTATATAATAACAATAATCCTTTCAATTGATATAGCGCCTTACCGCGTCTTCTAGAAGTCTCAACAACAACTTGCATTTATATGGCGCCTCTCACGCAGGGTAGAGTCCCAGAGCGCTTCACAGAATATACTGTAAAGTGAGTCGACTGTGTATTTTTGTGCGCAAAAATGTGTGAGCTTTATGAAGGATTTTAAAGCAGCTGAACAGAAATTTCCATTCCAATGATTTCTTTTGCTTCTTTTTTTGACCTAGTTTTTTTTTTCTTCCTGTTTGCAAGTCTAACAATTGCTGTACCTTAGCCCCAGTGTTGCCAAGCGATGATTTTAATGCCACACGACAACGATTTGAATATTTCTGGCACGTTTCACCCGCAAGTGCCTCCGGGATCCCATTGACCTACACTTGGGGTTTGTCGAGCTGATTGTTGAACTGTTCCTCTGCACTCAATAACCTTTAAGCGGTCTGTGGCATTCTGTGATTCAGTCAGACACAAAGAGAGTGCGGTTCAGGAGAGAATTGGTGAAGCAGAATTGAACAACAACAACAACAAGATTCCATTTATAAAGCGCCTTTCACGTCAGGAGGACGTCCCAAGGCGCTGCACAGTTGGGTCATGACCCGAGCAGGGGGAAATGGTCAGGGTGAGGGGAGGGAAGGGAGGGAGCAAGGAGGGGGGAAATGGTCAGGGTGAGGGAAGGGAGGGAGCGAGGAGGGGGGAAATGGTCAGGGTGAGGGGAGGGAAGGGAGGGAGCGAGGAGGGGGAAGAGAGTCGAGAGGGGAGCTGAAGGCACAGTCAAAGAGAAGGCATCACTTGGAGAGCCAAGGACGGAGCACCAGGAGCAAAGCCTTAGTCCCTTCTCCCTGCCATTTTTCACCTTGAAGAGCAAAGAACTCTCTTTCCTCTTTTTAAAAAAAAAGCATTGAGTTGATCTCAGCATTTCCCTCTTTCCACTCCTGTTATCGTATCATTTTGTGGAGTCCCGCGTTGGTATTGGTTAGCGATCTCCTCGCAAGCAAGAGGACCCGGGTTCGATTCCCGGTCAGGGCAAAATCTTAGGCAAGTTTCCTTACTCCACATGCTGCTGTTGACTTAGCAGTAAGTAGGAACCTGGTTGTTAGTCAATTGGCAGGTCGCTTTCTGTGGGGGGGTAATAATCCCTCCAAAAGAAATGGTCACTCAATCCGTGACTGTTTGTGGGACACTGCTGTGCGCAATTGGCTGAACGTGTTTCGCCCACAAAATAAACAGCTCAATCCGCTTTACGATATATTCCGTGATTAGGCGCTATATCAAATGCAAGGATTATTATCTTTATAGATTTTTTTTCTTGAAAGGACCAGCCCCACTGAACCGGATGGATCGATACATGGTACGTGTGAAATAATTCCTCGAGTTAATGCCTTCTCAAGCCAAATAGTGGCCAACTTGTTGCACCTTTGGTAAAGGCATCCAAAACAGTTAGATAGTAATCTCAAGCGTAGAGCTGGGATGGTTAGTTAGTCACATCCAGAACACAGACCTGGCTGCAAAAATGTGGAGGGCATAGGAACACAAAGCTGCAGAGGCGGAATTGATCCGGATGTTTAAAGTGAGATTGATAGAGCCTTGGGACGTAAGTGCATTGAAGGGTTATGGAGAAAAAATGGGGATTAAAAGATCTATCGAGATCTAACAATCTGGCCGCACAGGCTCAGTGGGGTAAGTGTTCTAATTACATTTCTGATTCTCATCTGCAACGTAAGCAACATTTCAAATTGAGTATTTTAAAACTTGCAATAATAATAATAATAACAATAATAATCCTCACATTCGGTTTAGTACCTTTCACGTCAGGAGGAGGTCTCCAAGCACAACACAGGATATAATAATAATAATAATAATAATCCTTGCATTTGATATAGTGCTTTTCACATCGGGAAGACGTCCCAAAGCGCTTCACAGAACACACTGTAAAGTGAATTGACTGTATATTTGTGGGCGAACGCAGCAGCCAATTGCGCACAGCAATGTCCCACAAACAGTCGTAGATTGAAAATGACCAATTTATTATTGTTTTTGGTTTTGGAGGGATTATTATTAGGGCTCTGTGTGGAGTAAGGAAACTTGCCCAAGGTTTCGCCCTCTGCCTGGAATTGAACTCAGGTCTCTCATTTGCAAAGCGAGTGCTCTAACCACTGAGCTACAGGACTCCACGATTTTATATTGTAAAGTGTGGTGACTGTGCACTTTTGTGAAAGAACGGCCATTAGACTTGGGCGTAGACATTTCAAGATCCTCACACTCGTCTTCAAGTCCCTTCTTACCCTGCCACCTCCCTACCTCTCCGATCTGCTTACTCCCCAACCCACCGCCTGCTGCCTCTGCTCGACCGGCTCCTGTTTGTGCCTCGTGCCCTCCGTTCCACCATCACTACACCCCCAAACTCTGGAACACTCTACCCCTCCGCCTTGTCCCACCTCCTTCCCCATTATCAGCTCGCGCCTGAAGATCTTCCTCTTTGCAGTCGCCTCCACTCTCCCTCCCGGCTCGGCCACTGTCGAGCGCTCTGGGACTCTACCCTGCGTGAGGGGCGCTATTATAAACACAAGTTGTTGGTTGTTGCTGTTAACATAGCAGCCGTTTGTCTCTGGCCTGTGGAGGAGAACCAAGCTGACTGACCCAACGCTGGCACGGAAACAAGACGGTGGTGTTTATTTGATGAAGCTGTGCTGATGCTGCACGTTGAAGCAGTTTGTTGGCAGAATGACACAGCGATTTGGTGCTGCATTGATGGGGTGCGTTTGGTTCGGTGGTTGCATTGTAAATGGTTGCTGTGTGTGTGTGTGTGTGTGTGTGTGTGTGTTGCGTGCTCTGTGTATTGCTGTGGGAAGCAGTTAGCACAGTTTACTCGCATCAGAAGATCTAGACGCTGATCGGAATAATATCGGACGTGGCTCTGGTTCGAACAAGCCTCGGAACACCTCAATCTCCAAAGCCATCCTCCAGGATGTACGCTTAACCAGGGCTGTGGATGGGCGTCAGGCAGAGAAAGCCTGTGTGACTCAGCCCTGCGCTGAAACGACTCCTCTTTTAGTTCGTTAGACGAAGGTGCAGCTGCAGGAAGCAGGGCTGAGAGTCGATGTGCGTTTCTCTCCTGTCTCTAAAACGACTGGATGTGCGGAGGTGACGCTTTGGAAGCGGCCCCTGTCTTTGGGAATCTCGGTCCCAGTGACTCCCGCTCCCAGCGCTGGGTCCGAAGTGATTCCCTGCGAAAGCGCAGCTGTTGAATGGGTTCCAACCATAAGCCTCGCCTCCTGCTCCAGTTATAGGGTCTCAGCCGGCTCCATCGTGCTGACGGGAGCTGCAGGAAGGCGGAATCCAGGAACGCTTCCGAATTTCGTCCGCTGGAGCGCTGGGAGAGATTCGTATCGTTTCACCGCAAGGGAGCTGGGGTAGCGGTGTGTGATTAAGCTGAGTTAGCCGTCAAACAGTGACAAGGTTAAATAAAACGCAGGGCCTCTTCAGGTAAAAGCCGAGCAGTGCAGTAGCCTAGATACGAGCAGCAGCGAAACTATCACAGAGCATACAAAGCACTACTGCATAAACGTCTGGTGATGTTTATCACAGAAGGATTTAGGATTTATTTCAGCAATAAGGTGGGCAGCTAACGAAGCAGAAGTCAGCAGCAGTCGATGGGTTTATTATTGATTAATTGCAGTAATTAAAGTGATCTATCCTGGGGTGGTTGATGGTAGTGGAGGGGGGGGGGGGGGGAGAGAGCGTGGGGGGGGAGAGAATAGATCAAAGGATCAATGAGTACATTTGCATTTGCAAGGGTGTCGCTGTTTATTGCATCGCTTGTTCTGCAGTGTCACTGGTTACACTGGAGAAGGTGCATTTCATCTTGAGGGAGGTCAGAATGTACCGAACAGACGGACATTGTGGATCCACTTTTTAACCTGTCAGCGGAGAAGCCGGTGGAGTTGAGGATATATAACAAGAGACTCGAGCCCGGCCTGGCCTGCCCCTGACTGTGATAGCGTTCGCCTGCTTTGCCGAGAGCAGTGGATGGCCGTGACTTGTGCTCAGTCTTATCATTGGCGTGAGAGCGCGGCACGGAATAAGCCGCTTGGCAGCTGCAGGCAGGCCAGCCACGGACAAAACGAAGGCCAGGATGAAGTGAAGGCCGTTTCGATTGAAGCCAAACTGTGGTTGTCTTTTTTTTTCTCTCTCTCTCTCTCTCTCTCCCCCACCCCTTAAAGCGCGGAGCCTTTAAAGGAGAGGTGTCTGTGACGCTGTAACAGTGCCGCTTTGCTGGCAACAATGCTGGCTGCTCTGATCACACTCAATTATGTGCTGCAGGAGATGCTCAGGCAGCTACAGAACAAGCTGGAGAGTGAGGCTTCCAGCCTGACCTCCAGCGCGAAGAGCGACATCCTGGACCAGCTGAAAGGTAGGATGTGTTTGCATGTATGCGTGTGTGTGCGTGTCTGCGGGGTGCTGTGTCTCTGTGTGTGTGTGTGTGTGTGTGGGTCTGAGAAGGAGGGACGAGGTGTGTGTGTTTGTGTACTGTACATAGCAAAAGGGGGCCCCTTTACGCAGCCGTCCATCGCATTTTATTTCTCTCCGATTCCAACTAACGAGCGCCAACGATAGTGCTCGGGGAGGGGAGGGGGAGGGAGAGGGAGAGGGCCCTGAATTTTGAACGACGCTGTTTGTGTGGGGTATTTTTGTTTCTCTCTCTCTCCCTCTCTTCTCTCTCCCATTCATGAGATCCGTCACCTCAACGTTAGCTGAGAATTAATTAGGTGGGACGATGTTAATCGTCGTCGTGCGTGCGTGTGTGTCAGTCTGACCCTCGTTGGTTGGTAGCATTTGCCTCCGAGGATTCAGAAGGTTGCGAGTTCAGGCTCAAATTTGTCATTAAGGCTGAGTTTTAACTGGATATTTGCCCCCCACCTCACCCCACTCCCCCACCTCACCCAGACAATATTGATCACTCACTCTCCCTGGCTGTTCTCTGGGGGCTGTTGCCTGAGCGCAAATTGGCAGCCAATTGCCAACACAGCAGTGTCCCCGCAAACAGTCGTGGATCGAGGATTTGACCCCAAAGTAGCGGGGCATCGACTCGACCGGCCGCCGAGGACAGCGAACACGTGTAACGTTTAAGAGAACGGACGCAAATCTTAAACCCCAGCAAATGTAGTTTCTTGGCGGATTCGCGTACGACGGATGCGTCGCTGTCTCGTTTAATGATTAAAAAAAAAAGCAGCAGCAGCTTGATGCTGTGACGGGCGTTCTGGTGAAACGAGATCTGATGGGACTCGCCTGCCTATTTGCTCCTCTGTCTCCTCTCAGCCGGCCCCAGCCCTCTCCTGCGCGTCCCTCGTCCCCCCTCTGCTCCACCGTGGGCCTCCGTGCTTACGGCCGTCTTCATCCGAAACCCGTCTTGCGATGTGTTTTTTTTTCTCTCTCTCTCTCGATCAGAGCTGAACGCAGACGTCGCCAATCTCTGCGACATCGATTGGCCTTCGGGGCAGCAGGGGTTCGGGGTAGTGCCGGCGGCTGAGGGAAGCCAAGGGAACTCTGGCGTGCGACAGAGGCACGGGTTCGCGGCTGTCGCGGGGAACAGCGGCGAGCGCATGGAGGAGCTCAACAAAGAGAGGTACGTCGTGGCGATTGGGTGCGTGAGCGCCAACTCCTCGTCAGGATCACGTTTCACTGCAGTCGCAGCTCGTGAGTGACACGGAAACCACAAAGCCATTCAACCCAACAACACCCTCCCCGTGTTTATACTTCATACAACCCCTCCACGCACTCCCTCCCCCCACCCCCCCCCCACCCCACTCCCAGCCCCCCCTCTGTGTGTTCAATCACATGTTGGTTTTCATTGCGAAATGGATCGATTACAAGATCCTCGCACTTGCGTACAAATCACTTCATGCCCTATTAACACCCCCCAACCCCCCCTCCCACACACACGCATACACCTCTCCAGCCTGCACTCGCACCCCCCCCCCACCCACTCCTCCAACCGCACCCTTCGTTCAGCTGGCTCCGTCCTCCTGCAGATGCCCTCGTGCCCCTCCGCTCCACCATCGCCGGCCGTGCTTTGCACCGCTGCGCTTGAACCTGCGGTTCTCTCCGCCTCAATCCTTACCCCTGGCCTCTTCCTTGCCCCATCGTCAGATTACTGAAGACTTTCCTCTCTGACTGTGCCTCGGGTCATCTTGCCCCATCTCCCTCCCTCAGCGCTATGATCCGCTAACTGTTCCACTCTCCGAGGCCCTAGTCGGGAATCCGGGAGTGTGTTAGCGAGCGTGTGGATGGGTGTGTTTACGACTCACTTGCTGTGATGCTGCTGCTACTAACATCTCTCATCTCTCTCTCTCTCTCTCTCTCTCAGGGAGTTGCTCCTTTTGGAGATTGAGAAGGAGGAGAAAGAGAAGCTCTTCTATTCCACGCAAATCCAGAACCTCGCCAGGCGGGCTGACGACCTCTCTCAAATCAAGACGGTGAGGATCGAGCAATAGGGGGAGCAGGGAGTCCTTCTCCTCCCACCCGCCACCCCATAGCAATAATAATAGTCCTTGCATTTGATGCAGCGTCTTATCACATCGTTGAGGCGTCTCAAAGCGCTTCACAGGATATACTGTGAAGCCGATTGACTTTGTCTTGTGTGAGCGAAACGCAGCAGCCATTTGCGCCCGGCAGCGTCCCAGTGGCGTGTCGGGCGACTAAATTATTATTTCTTTTTATTTGAAAAATAATAATTCATACGATTTTTTTTTTCCTGTGACATGCACATCGCTGAGCTCTGCCGGAACCTCTGCCCCAAACCCTTACTCTGATGAAACGTGCCCGACCGCCTCCCAAAAGTAAACGTCCCCTTGCATTTGCGCAAAGCTCGCTCCGATGAAGGCAGTGACACAGCTGTGTGCGTCGGACCGTGAGCTGAGTGAGGTGTGCAGTGAGTCGCGTTCAAACAGCCTTTCGCTCTTGTCTTTTATCATAGATAGACAGATGGAGGGATGGGATGGGATTGGATTGGATGAAAAACAATTTGGTCACTCAATCCACGACTGTCTGTGGGTCGCTGTGTGCGCAATTGGCTGCCGCTTTTCGCCCACAAAACCCACAGTCAATTCACTTGACAGTATATTCTGTGAAGCGCTTTGAGACGTCTCAATGTGGTGATAAGGCGCAATACCGAATGCAAGGCTTATTATTATTATTATTATAATAATTGCCACTTAGTGGTGTCGGAGATCCGGGGCTATTTTCTCTAAACGAGGACAATCTCTTCTCAGGTTTCAAAGGAGATGGATTTGATTCGACAACAGCTTCAATTTGAGGCTCATCAGATCCGAGCGATCATTGAGGAGAGATACGGGACCAGCGATAAGCTAACCCGACAAACCCAGGTACAGTCCGCATATAATATAACAGCCGCTCAGACCGCAGACTCAACCCTTATCTTCGAAACAAACATTCTTCTGACAGGAAAGGTGCTATATATAAATGTAAATTGCATCGTATCTATGCTTTACAGCTGGGAGCACCAAGGGAAGCTAATCTTATCTCTAATGGCTCTTGCCTCCTTCAAGTCCTGCCTAAAGAGCTTCCTCTTCGACCGTGCCTCCTGCTACCCCCACCCATCCTGCCCTCCACCCCACCTGAACCCCAACTCCCGGCTCAAACCAGGTCCCAAGCCCCTGATTGTCCAGCGCCCTGGGACATCTTTCCGACTTGAAGGGCGCTATACAAGTATAAGTTGTTTTTAAATTATGTTTTAAAGCCATTTCAATTTCACTTCGGCTTCCCTACTGCCTTATACTAACAGATGTTCGGATGCTGAACAGGTGGAGCATTGCAAACCGCACAGGATTATATAAATAGCTGCTCCCTCTGCTATTTGGAGAGCGTGATTCCACAAGGATATTTCTGAAGAAATCAATCTTTTCTCTCTGATCCAAGTCCTCCAAAATACCTCTCTCAGTTAGAACAACAGCACCAACAACAAATTACATTTACGCAGAGCCTTTCATGGCAGGAGGATGTCCCGAGGAGCCGGAGAGTCAGGGATTTGCATCCTGAGCTGGGGGTGGGATCAGGAGGGGTAGAGGGCAGGGGTGGGGTATGGGTAGGAGGGTGACTGAAGGTGCGGTCGAAGAGGAGGGTCTTGAGACGGGCCTTGAAGGAGGCACGGGAGGGAATGGGGTGAAGAGACTGTGGGATGGAGTTCCAAAGGGTAGAGATGGAGAGGCTGAAGGTCTGAGTGCCGCTGATTGTCGGGTCTGGGTTTTAAGCTTGTCACCTGTTCAGAAGCCCGGGTCATCTCGATTATGCTGTCCCATTTAATTGTGATATTAAGATTGCACCGGGATTGCTTGAGATTAAATTAAGGCCAGTAATTGTCCCACATCTTCCTCTGTGAGTTATTCAATCAGTGACTGCGTGTGCACTATGATTGATAGCATCAGACATGCCTTTGCTGCTGGGCACAGATGACAGTAACACTACGCGTGACAGTGTGTACATATACACATTATATATGCAAAAATAAATTAAATTATCAATATACATTATATATATTGTGTGTGTGCATATATATTTGTATAGATATATATCAGATTCTGTGCTTAGGCCCCAAAGGAAACGAAAATAAACTAAAGCAAATTCTTTTTTTCACTATGAACTGGTAACCTAGAAACCACATTGTTCGCTCTTGGACTCATTCCAGTGGTAGAGAGCGGCGGGTGGGTGGGGGGGGTGGGGGGTTGGAGCAGTGAATAGGTTCCTCCAAGATGTATTGCCTGCAGCTCTGTGGATTGCTAGGTATTATCTCTAGAGTCAAGATCCATCATTGCCTGGGCTACACTAGCACCGATAACCTACATTGAAAACTGGTGGAAAGGGAAGGACCTTGGGAAGAGAGACGCCAAAGGATATTCAGGGATTGAAATTCCTGCTTTTGCTAATTTGAGACCTTTATATGGAAATATTGAAATATTTCACCCACAAAAATATACAGTGTATTCCACACAACTGAAGATGCCATCTTGTGTCATCCCCAATCACGTTCCGGTCTGGGAAAATTTTCAGCCGGATTCGGATTCAGGAAGTATTTCTTGACCCGGAGGGTAATCGACAACTGGAACGGGTTAGCGAGGAGGGTCGTTGAGGACAGGACGCTTTACATTCATCATTTGATAAACTGCCTTAATGATAATAATAATGACACTCCTTGCATTTGATATAGGGCCATATCATTGTTGAGACGTCTCAAAGCGCTTCACAGGATACCCGTGCATTTTGTGGGCGAAACGTGGCAGCCAATTGCGCACAGCCTTGATGGTTTAATTGAAGCATGGCAGGTTCTGGTAGACTGAGATCAAATAGACCCAAAGGGCCTTCTTCCTCCGACCCTCTGTTTTTATCTTGTGATGCTCCTTCATTGCTTTTCTCTGACAGCTGCGAATGAACCGAATCCAACAGATTGAGAAGGACATTGAATCGCAGCAGAAGGTCCAACAGAACAATTTAGAGGTAAGGTTCAATGGCTTTGCCAGAGTCGCGTTACATGGAGGCTTACAGTCACTTCCCCGTGAATTGTGAGGCGGTCGTTCAATCGAGATGTTCGTGCGTTCTCATAAACCACAGACTCTCACACACAGCGGGACTTTATACCGTACCTAGAATTCATGAACTGAACCCGATAATCAATATCTGCATGAAATGTCCGCCAAGTGTTCAATGTTCACTGATGTATCCCTGAGGATTATTACGCGTATCTTATTTTTGTTCCCACTCTTGGGAACAGGAGCTAAGGAACATAATGGGGAACATATCTTAAGTATTACGTTTAAGGGTGAAAGTAGTTGGGGCCTGTGGTTTGAGCAAAAAAAGGAGCAAATGTATTAAAAAGGGGAATAAGTGGGGCCTCATATACAGTGTAAGCACTGGCATGGACTAGTTGAGCTGAATGGCCTGTTTCTGTGCTGTATAAGTTTATGTAACCTGGGCTAATAAAATAATAATCATCCTTGCGTTTGATACAGCGTCTTATCACGTCATCGAGACGTCTCAAAGCGCTTCACGTGATATGATGCAAAGTGGTTTTGGCTGTGTAGTTTGTGGGCACAGCAGCCGGTAGCGCACAGCAGTGTGTCCGACCAACAGTTGTGGATTCAGTGACCAAATGTAGTAGTAGTAATAATAACAATAATAGGGACCAATTGTATTTGGGGGATTGTTGGCCAGGACAGCGGGAGAGAGAAACTGCCTTCTCTGTGCGAGTAGTACCTTGGGATCTTTAACGTCCACCTGACCAGGCAGACGAGAATTTGGTTTAACGTCTCATCCAAAGGAAATCACCTCCGGTAAAACAACAACCATTGGAGTGAAACGTTTTACCTTTGATACGCATTATCTACGGTCTCTACCATCTCCTATACCTGCTTGTAGCCACATGTAGCCAGCAGTCATATACACAGTACTGCGTCCCTGCCCTGGTTTGTCACCGAGCTGTTTGCCCTGTGACGGCCATGTCTCCACCCTGCGGAGAAATACTTTGCACCGGGTTCCCATGGTGATGCTGACACCATCAATAACAACAGTCCTTTCACGTCAGGGGCATTGTCTCAGAGCGTTTCACAGGATTTACTGTAACGTGTAGAGACTGTATTTTATAGGCAAACACAGTAGTAAATTTGTACAGGGCAAAATCCAACACGCAGCCATGAAAGTGAAGGACCAACTTTTATTCACGAGATTGCCGGTCAGGACGCCGGGTAGAAATTCCCTTCTCTCTTCGAATAGCGACGTCCCCAGGCGCTGGACCGTGAAGGGTTTGCCCCCGAGCTGGGGGTTAGACTCCAGAGGGGGTGGAGGGCAAGGAGGGGTGGGAAGATGACCAAAGGCATGGTCGAAGAGGAAGATCTTGAGACGCGCCTTGAAGGAGGCGAGGGAAGTGGAGGGGGTGGGGGTTGCGAGGAAGAGAGGCTCCGGGATGGAATTCCAGAGCGTGGGGGCAGAAAGGCTGATGGTGGAGCGGGCAGGATGGGGGACATTGAGCAGCCCAGTGCCCGCCGAGCGGAGAGAGCAGACAGGATGGTAAAGCAATGACTATAGGCATGAATTGTATTGTATTGTGGGGTTTTGTTTAGCGCAGGAACGTCTGGCTTGGCTACAGACCTCTGTCGACAGTGACTGCATGTGAAAGAGACAGACATCTCTCGTGGTGCATAACAACACATTGGACTTTTTTTTTTAAAAAAAGCTGAATGGACATGAGACCGTGTGACTGACACAAGTGGGCAATGTTTAAGCACATTTTTTTTGGCTGAGGAATGTGTCTGTAAACCCACAGCCATTGCCCACGTAAGATTACGTTCACGTCCATCACTAAGTGAGCGTTCTGCGACCAAAGCAATTGCTCCGAATCGTGACAACTGGAGACATTCGCAGCAAATTATTTGTTCGCTGCCCGTTATTTTCTTTTGGAGGGGGGAGAAATCCTTTAAAAACGAAGTACGTGGCCGCCAAAGGGGGAACAAAAAGCACTTTGACAATTTGCAGGAATCTGCAATACAATATTTTTGGTCTGGAACAGGGTTTCGACTGAGCTCTCGCTCTCGGCTCACAATTAGTGAGGCTGCATTTTCACAATCAGGGATTAAGTGTGACAGAGAGAGGATAAGGCTTTATTTGTTTTCCCCCCCTCTTCTGGGGCAAAAAAAAAAAGCCAGTTGCATTTCATACGACAGCGATGCAGGACACAGACATCATCGCCATTAATAACAGAGGGAGGCGAAAAAAAAGAGCTTTTACAAGAAAATGTATTTTATTTCGCAGGTCTGTTTTATTTTCCTCTACCCCCCCCCTGCCTTTCTCTCCTTCTCTCCATCTCTCTCTCTCTCTCTCCAGGATTTACTGTCATGGGTTGCTACAGTGAGGGGATGGGAGACTATGGGAAAAGGATTAAAGGGAAAAATAGAGGGAGGGAGTTTGCTTTGTGATTGGATCAGATCAGGGCATGTAGATTTCTTGGCTGACACACTGTTGGCTTGTGCATGTTTCACTGCTGGGCATCTTTTGGGCAAACCTCAGGGTCTCCTCCACTGGAGCAAATCAAAGGGTTTTGTGTGGATGAAGCTCTTGCATTATCATCCTGCTATCAGTGATGATCATTGAGATGCTTCAAGCCACCCAGCTCCATCCTTCCTGAACCTTGAGCAGACCAGAGCCAGGAGAGCTCCCAGTTTCTCATCAGGGACTGCATTAGTGCACACATCGCTCTAAGCTGTCAGAGAAGGAGAGAGATCAGAGAGGGAGAGAGGGAGTGGGAGAGAGAGAGAGAGAGGGAATGGGGCTCAGATGATGCTGAAAATTCAGACTGCGCTATGTCGGAATCCTTCCCCTACTCCCTTAAGGGGAATCAGGTAGGAATTTCCATTTCTCTGCTGTGCTGGCACTAAAGGGATGTGTCTATTGCAGCTTTTTGTACTGCATTTATATTGCATTCATATTAGATCGACTGCTGTTATGTTTGAGGTGAGCAATGGATGCAGAGGATGTGACTGACAGTCAACAGTTTCTGCAATTTTTGCCTTTATCTTTCTTTCCTCTCTCTCTCTCTCTCCCTTTGTTAAAGCACCGAGGCTTTTTTTGTGTGTGTGTGTGTGTGTGCACAGTCTACAGACACCTTAACACTGTTCTCTAATTGTCAGCTATGGATCCTTTAGGTTTTTGCAAAGATTTTTGCTTCTCTCTCCCCCCCAACCCCTTCCCTTTATTTATTCTGCAATTATTTTCATGTCCCTGAAACACATCTTCCAATTTTTCTCTGCCTTTTTTAAATGCTGTTGCATGGTTTTCTTTTACCATTTGAGAGAGAGAGAGAGAGAAAGATAGATGCATTCAAGGCATGTTTGAACATGGGAGCCAGCCAGTGCATCAAATCATTCTCCATTTGCTTGCAATTCCAGCCACACACACACAGAACCCTTTTGCATTTCTCTCTATTCTTTACCTCTCTCTCCCTCCTTCCCCCCCCCCCCCCCACCACCCCCTCCCCAGCATTGTCCTTCCTTTGTTTAATGAACCCAAAGACTGCAGCAGTTTCTCAGTCCACAAGAATGCAATACCGTCCTGCAGAATAATGTACCTTTCACAAATTGCACCATTCTGGGCTATCTCTTGTGTTTTTTTAATATTCATTTTTCGCCCACCAAATACACAGTCAATTCGCTTTGCAGTATATTCTGGGAAGCGCTTTGAGACGTCACGAAGACGCGATAAGGCGCTATACCAAATGCAAGGATTATTATTATTTTTTATTTGTATATATGTACTGAAACTGACTGTGAACCAGGAGATGGTTTCAGACACAATCCAAAATGTAGTGTTGTTAAGAAAGTGATCTCTTTCTGTGTGTCCTTTTTTTTTAATTAAAAAAAAGGAAAAAAAATATTTCTCGATTGTTCCCTGATTTTTTTTCATAACATCCCACCCCCCAAAAAAAAATTATTTTCTGTCAAGAGTGTCAGACGCTGCCGAGCCCTGACCGATGGCTTGGCAGTGAGCTGTCAGCCGTCCTGACCTTAAGACGGTGGTGATTTATTTATTTCATTGTTTATTTTGCAAGCTAAGCAAAAATGAAAACGCTTAAGCCAACGGTGTTCTGAGTCGCGCATACAGTCAATTCACTTTACAGTATATCCTGTGAAGCGCTTTTGAGACGTGTCAAATGCAAAGATTATTATTATTATGTTAGGTTTCAAGAAGCAACTAGAAAGACGCCTAAAAAGGATTATTATTATTATTGGATTATAAGCGCCTCGAGGCATCAACCGCTCCAAATCCATCACTCGGGTCAGGAGGATGGTTACAGGCTGCGGATTGCATGCAGGCAAGGTTTATGGGCAGATCCCAGTGTGTTTGTGTGTGTGTGTGTGTGTGTCTATGTCTGTGTGCGTGTGTGTCTGTGTGTTGGGAGAAAATCTCGCCAATTTGGAATGGCGAAATAGCAATACAAATGGAGGAGAATATAATAGGATGCCTTCACAATTGAGAACTGGACTCCTTGTGTAATGTTCCACACACTCGCAAAACCATGCTGCCTTTCCCCTCCCACCCCCACCTCCACCCCTGGGCACCAACAATCCTGGGAAAAATACTGGTCTCCATTTGTTCGAGGTTTAAACTAGATTTGGCCCTGTGTATATATATATATATATATATATATGCCTGAGCTGTTGGGACTGTGGAGAAGGATGTTCGTTATAAATCCTTTGCTGTAGTACGTCAAGTTATTATGCCTTTAGGACAGCGACGCATCCTTTTCAGTGAAAATGACACTTTGCTCGGAGGAAGGGGTTGGATTGATTTGGACACAGATCCAGGCAGAACAAATTCAATTTCCCTTTGCATGAGAGATGCACCAGGTCGGTCGATGAGTTATCCTGAGACTTGCAGCAAAATGGATGACTGATGTGTTGCGGGCAAAACCATTGCTAGAAACAGACGTGTTTCTTAATCGTTTGAATGGGAGAGAAAGTGGCGGGGGAAGGAGGCGGGGGTGGGGGAAGTGGCGGTGGGGGGAGGGGGAGAAGGGAGAGACGGATTCTACCATCGGCGGGCTTGGGTTTGATTGATTTTGAATTCAATGCAATATGCAAAGCTTCCTCCACCTTTGTGTCCGCAAGTGAAATGATCAATGGTGCATGGCTGTGTACGACCTGTATTATATCGCCCGCAAAATATACAGTCGATTCACTTTACAGTGTATTCCGTGAAGCGCTTTGAGACGTCTCAACCACGTGATCAGGCGCTCTATCCGAATGCAAGGATTATTATTATTATTGTTACTATTATTGTTTGTCTGTGTACAGACACAGCCCCTCTGAATTCCTCAAACGCTAATGTGGAGCAGGTAACCGTGCTCACTGTGAACTTATGGCGCATTCGTCTATTGCTTCTGATGTAACAACAACAACAAATTACATGTGTGCAGCGCCTTTCACGTCGGGAGGGCGTCCCAAGGCACTGGACAGTCAGGGATTTGGACCAGGAGGGGTAGAGGACGGGGTGGGGGTGGGGGGGGGGGTAGGGATAGAATGGCGATCGAAGGCGAGTACTGTTAGCAGACGCTCTAAATCAGAACCTTCTGAGTCTGAGAGTCCGCTATCTGGTTAGTTCACTCATCATTGCTCTCCTTTTTTGCACCGCATCCAGGGTCTGAATAGCTCCTTGGTATAACTGTAACTGAACGGTACACAGCACTCTTGGTGCTCCCTGACCTGGGCACCCGAACTCAACCAATTTGGCAATACAACCTCGTTAGCGTCCAAGATCAGTTTCATAATTGCCCAAAGACCCAATTAATTACCCGAAGACCCAATTTCAGCAGCTTGGGACTTCCTTCCTCTGGGAAAGATGCTATATAAGTGAATGTAATTTTCGTGGCTGTTGCTGTCAATCTTAGACAAGATTTGGTCAGTGAGCGATTATACGATTTTAAGGTATTAATAAGAAAGGAATAGATTGATGCAGAACACCTGTAACGTTGGTTACTACAAGCCTATCGAGCTATGTAGAGACATCTAGTGGTCAGGAAAGACTACAGCACAATCTTTTGCCACACACCCGAACCAGACTGTTGTGTTCACTGTGCGAACGGTGCAAGTGCGTTACAATGTGTGTAACACCCTTCCAAACAGCGTGTTGAGAATGGGAAGAGTTTGCTACAGTCAACCTTATGTGTTATTTTTGCATTTGAATCGGGGACGGCAGATACGAGCAATAACAGATTCCATCTTCCTTGCATTTCTCCCGGCTGCCTCTCTCGCTCGCTGATCCCAAGCTCGCTCGCCAGACGAAACTGATTCAAACGGTTTAACCAACACCCCCCCCCCACCACCACCCGCTTTAAAAACCAGAACAATTAAAAGTTGGGAGCAAAAATAGCTCGTCTGCGTACGGTGTTTCTAAAGCACGCTGGTTTTCTGTGCGCAGGAATGTCGTATGTCAACCGATCGAGAGACTGAAAGAACGATGGATAATTTGCCTCAAGGACTCAACATCTTGGGCAGTAAGGTAAGGGGTCAGCCGGGTGTTTGACACGCACTTAGGAGCATCCAAAGCCAGACTCCCAGGTGACAGACACGTATGTATGCCACCAAATTTTTGTGTACGGAATGAAATGGCACGCTCTCGTTCTGGAGGGACACATCCTGCTAAGCTATAACAACAACAACAACAACAACTTGCATTTATATAGCTCCCCTCACGCAGGATAGAGTCCCAAGGCGCTTGCATATTGAAGCAATGCGATTTACATTTAAACAGTGCCTTTCACATCGAGAGGACGTCTCTAATTCCATCTGTATTAGGTGCCATTTAGGCTGTTTCTTGCAGGCAAGGATTGCGCTTGTCGGTAGCTCTTTCAAACAGCCGGCGCAGGCACGATGGGCTGAATGGCCTCCTCCTGCGTAGCAAGATGCCATGCTTAACCCTTTGCGTTCCGCCCTGCAGGTAGAGATGGTGTTCTGGCTGCTGTCGATGTTGGCAACCCGTGACAAGGACGACATGTCGAGGACGCTGCTGGCGATGTCCAGCTCTCAGGACAGCTGCGTGGCCATGCGCAAGTCGGGCTGCCTCCCCCTGCTCATCCAGCTGCTGCACGACTGCGAGAGGGACACGGGGCCCGACAGGACCTCCCGCTGCAACAAGGAAGCCCGAGCCCGGGCCAGCGCAGCCCTGCACAACATCATCTACTCGCAGCCCGACGAGGGGCAGGCCAAGAGGGAGATGCGCGTCCTGCACGTGCTGGAGCAGGTGCGGTCGTACTGCGAGACCTGCTGGGACTGGCTGGACGTCAACCAGCCATCGGCCGACCCAGGAGCCGGCAGCCGTGAGTACAATTCCTTCTTCCCGGCCGTGAAACCTTAGACAAGTTTCCTTACTCCGCACGCCGCTGTTTGCCGAGCAGGGAGTAAGAAGTTGGTTGTCAGTCGATTGGCGGATCCAGAGGGTAATAATCCCTCCCCCCCAAAAAAAAATCATTCGGTTACTCAATCAACGAATGTTTGTGGAACACGACTGTGCGCAATCGGTTGCCGGGTTCCGCCCTCAAAAATATACAGTCAATCCACACTCTATAGTGTATCCTGTGAAGCGCTTTGAGACTTCTCAACGACGTGATGAGGCGCTACATCAAATACAAGGGTGATTCTAACCGCTCTGTTGTATCCTCCTGTAGTCCCGCTGCCCATTGAGCCGCAGATCTGCCAGGCCATGTGCGCCATCATGAAGCTCTCCTTCGACGAGGAATACAGACGAGCCATGAATGAACTCGGTACGTTATCAAACTCTTTCACGTGGTTCTCAGAGGCCACAACGACGACACCAACAGCAGCAACTTGCATCGATACAGTGTCCCTGACACTGGGTAGCATCTCGGAGTGCAGGTTCGGTTCAAAGCGGTGCGTTAAGGGAAAAAGATTGGGAACATTTGCTACAGGCTCTGTACAACGACGATAGAGCCTAACCCTTGCAGTCTCCAATCCAGTGGTGGGCCAACCAAAATAATAGAAGTAACAAAATAGCGAAGGTTTATGCTGTTATATCTATTATGCGAAGATAAAGCACAAAATATTCCATCGAGGAACATTCATTTTGTTGGTCAACCAAAGCCAAAGCGCCTGCCCACCACTGCTTCAATCGTTGAATGCTCTTTTCCCTCTCCCTCTGCAGGTGGTCTCCAGGCGATTGCTGAGCTGCTGCAGGTCGACTGCGATATGTACGGAGGCACCAACGACCCTCTGAACTCGGCTCTGCGCCGCTACGCGGGGATGGCTCTCACCAACCTCACGTTCGGGGACGTGGTCAACAAGGTGAGATCCCGAGCCCTGCTCAGGAGCACTGCTCCAGATCGAGCCGCTGGGGAAGGAGGAAAGGAGAGGGTTTCTGATTCTTGTTTGCGTCAAAATTTCACGATGAAGCAGCAGAGTGAGTGGTGTGGGTTGGTGTGGGTAGGTGGGTTAGGGGAGAGTAAAGCCTCCCAGCTGGAAGCACTCGTACTCTGCTTCTGATGGACGTTTCTGTGTGAAGGTCAAACAAAAGGTTTACCCTGCTCTGAAACAGTGTCATTACAGGATGGCAATGAATCCTAGACATTATAGAGCAGTGCAGGAGATATTTCATCTCGAGCCATCACTCATGGCCGGGGCTGTTGGTAACAGGCACTCTCTGAGCCGGTGTCACAGTGAATCGCTTAACCCTAGCCTCCCAATGGGCTACTGTGTCACACTAATAGGCTCTTTCGCACATATGAAACCCTCTGTTTGCTTGAGGTTGGCTTGCGGGGTGTGTGAAGGCCGTGCTGCCTTGTTTGTGTCCGTGCTGATGGTCTGGGTTTCAGTCTGTCTGCTTCCCGTTGTTGCAGGCTTCGCTGTGCACCAGGAAATCATGTATGCAGAGTATCGTGGCTCAACTGGAGTGCGAGAGCGAGGACATCCAGCAGGTGGGTGAATTAGGACGCTTGTTTAGTTCAATGCGGCAAGAATTCCTGCAAACCTTCAATTCCCCTCGATCTGAGCCGGAAGCCTAGGAACAGGTTACAGCACATCCCTATAATGATAATGATGAAAAAATAATAATAATCCTTGCATTTGATATAGCGTCTTATCACGTCTCAAAGTGCTTCGCAGAATATGCTGTGGAGTGAACTGACTGTATATTTTTGTGGGCGTAACGCAAAAAAAAAGTACTGTAAACTGGAGCCATCCTGTAGCCTCGCGATGGAAGTTTGTACTTTAATCCAAACAAGTTGCATTTGGGTTTTGGAATATTTCAGTTTGAATCCGGATCTGTTTATTTTCCGCCCTTAATGTCATCAGGCCAATGTCAATGCACCCTGACCTGGTCCATACCTGACGTCTACACATACATTTTCTCTCAGGAGGGAGATTGAGACATTTGACTGATATGTCTCCTACTGCCATCCCTGTGCGTATAGTTTGTGTGTGTGGGGGTGTATGTTGTGTGTGGGTGTATGGTGTGTGTGTGTGTGCAGGCTCTGTGTACTGTGAATGTCCATTGTGTCTTGTCGATGGTTCCAGGTTGTTGCCAGCATCCTGAGAAACCTGTCCTGGAGAGCCGACATCAATAGCAAGCGGATCTTGCGTGAGGTCGGAAGTGTGAGCGCTTTGATGCGATGCGCTCTGAAGGCTAAAAAGGTGGGTTCTCCTTCACCTGTACGCCCGCAGTTTATATGGTACGGTTAAGGTGTTGTCGTTGCCACGTGTGCCTCAGCCAGTGTGAAAAGCTCTGCTGACCTCACCTCCTTTGAGAAATCGCAGCAGGGACGCTTCCTGGACATACGTGTGCCAGGCACGGAAAGTGACCTGAGCGGCAACATGACCACCACACGTTTCCGAGGACATGGAACATGCTACATTTTGAACCCGATGCTCTTAACAGGGCTGGACGGAGAGATCAGATTAGGTTAGGAAATAATATCTTGGGAAACAGTATCTCGCTTGGGACGTGGCATGTCAAGGATGGTGGAAAGCGAACAAGATGAATCTTGGTCCTCTGTCGTCCAGCAATTCTTTTGTTCTTGTTATAATACCTCCTGAACCCTGATTGATCACTTGTAAGTCGCCAGAATCTGCTGTCCTGTTTATTAATGTGTCTTGGCCTTTGTGTAGATTATCGCACGGCTTTATCGGCTCTCTTTTAGCAGCTCTGCTAAGTGATCTTTTAAAAACTATTAGTCACTGTTGCAGTGAAGCAGAGCTATTCACACTTTGAACACTGCTGATGGCAGCACATCCCAGCCTGGCTGATCAGCAGAATTTGGAAGGGCAGAGCAGTCACAGGAATCCTCCCACTCAGCTCATGTTAACCCTGCAAGCCAAATTCCTAACCGGGAGGGTGGTCCTAGCTGGATAAGCAGCAGGAAGGTTTGCCAGATAGCAACATCAGTGGCAAGCTACACGGTTTTAGCTGGTTCGACTCCAGCAGTTACCCCCAACGCACCTCCTGGGGTCCCCCAAGCCTTGGCTCTTGCCAACCTGCGCCTAATACTTTCCTGAATTAGGGAAGCAGGATGCATCCCTCCAGGGAGAGAGTGCGCATTCCTTCCCAACAATCCCTATCTCTGGGATTTCTACGTGTAGATGGGATGCATGGAATTGTCAGTTTGTTTTGGTTACTCCTAAGCACGGTGATGGGCGTGTCAGACGCCCGGCTGATCAAATAACAACTGAGGTTTCTATTCCCTTCCCTTCCTCAGGAATCCACGCTTAAGAGCCTACTGAGCGCATTGTGGAACCTGTCAGCCCACAGCACAGAGAACAAGGTGGCAATCTGCTCAGTGGAAGGTGCCCTGATCTTCCTGGTGGCTACGTTGACTTACAAGTGTCAGAGCAATTCTCTCGCCATCATTGAAAGCGGAGGGGGCATCCTCCGCAACGTTTCCAGCCTCATTGCTACCAACGAGGAGTACAGGTACAGCGATAGCCATTAAACACCAGCCCGTCACTGCAGCACAGCAATCGCACAACAAAGTCTTGCCTTTATACAGCGCCCTTCACTCAGCACGCTGTCTCAGCGCATGCTTCGCAGCAGCGCAGTTTGTGCTAAGATCTGCACGATGACAACACCTGCAAATTCTTTAGCACTCCTTCACGCACAATTGGGACTTGGAACATCCTCCCGACGTGAAAGACGCTATACAAATTTATTTTAATAATAATCCTTGCATTTGATACAACGCCTTATCGCGTCTTCGAGACGTGCTTGACAGAATATACCGTAAAGTGGAAAAAAAACGCGTATTTTTGTGGGCGAAACGCAGCAGCCAATTGCGCACAGCGGCACCCCACAAACAGTCGTGGATCGAGTGACCAAATTATTATTATGATTCCTTGTTGATAGCGTCTCAGACACGACAAAACGAGGAGGGGTGAGGGTTACAGGTAACTACTGTGCTCAGATTATTGTCTTTCGTCAAAGTTAATGGTTGGTATTTTGTTCGTTTTTGCTTTCCAGAGAAATTCTCCGTGACCACAGCTGCCTACAGACTTTGTTGCAGCACCTGAAGTCCCACAGTCTGACCATCGTCAGCAATGCCTGCGGGACCTTGTGGAACCTGTCAGCTCGGAACTCCAGAGACCAGGAGCTGCTGTGGGACCTGGGAGCGGTCAGCATGTTGAGGAACCTCATCCATTCGAAGCACAAGATGATCGCGCTGGGGAGCGCTGCAGCCCTGAGGAACCTCCTAACCAACCGGCCGGCAAAATACAAGGACACCAGCATGATCTCGCCAGGCTCCTGCTTGCCTTCCCTGTACATGAGGAAGCAGAAAGCCCTGGAGGCCGAGCTGGATGCGAAGCATTTGACGGAGACGTTTGACAGCATTGAGAAACTCAGCCCAAAGCATCCCAACCTCAACAAGCCCCTGAGACACATCGAAAGCTTAGTCAAGGATTACGCCTCGGATTCGGGGTGCTTCGACGACGACGAGGGACCCAATGTGTCGACTGGCTTGGAAACGGGAGGCCTGACCGTACTCTCTATGTACCTGAACTCTTCTTTTCTACAGGGACAGGCCATGTCCAGGAACCGGAGCGTTGGGAGATGCGCGGAGGCAGAGAGGGATCTCGAGGTGAAGCATTCGGATCTGCAGAAGTTCAGCGCCGCTCCTGACAACGTCTCCGTGGCAGCAGAACGCCTGGTGAACCAAATCTCCACCACCGTGGCTCGAATTGACAAGCTGGTCGAGGACGTGTCCAACATGCACACATCCTCCGAGGACAGCTTTAGCCTGAGCTCCGAAGACCAGTGCATCGACTGGCAGTGCGCGCTGGACGACTTGAGCGAGCACAGGGCAAAGTCTTCCTCCCCCTGTCGTCTCTCCGACGCTATTAACGCCAACAAACGCGAGAATACCAGCAAAGCACGTACTTTCCTGGGTGCAAGAACGGGATACGCAAACCTATCGAACGATAGTCTGCATTGTCTCAATAGCACGGGTGAGGGCGAAGGTCAAGTAAACTCGTCTAAAGAGTCCTCAATTGTAGATCAGCACAGTGAACTTCATCGGTTCCAGAGGAGACCGACCAATCTGGACCTGAACAACGGGGAGAACCGCAATCTGGACAAGAACGCTCTTCGTACGTACGTTGTAGAGGATTGCGGCGCACAGCCGAGCCGTAGAGAATCCCAAAACATTTGGAATGAAGTCTGGGGCACAACCAAACTGAATGAGAAATTAGAGAAAAGACTTTCTCCCTTTCATCAAAGGAATTCCCAGATTGCAGCCCCAATGAGGAACAATCTGGCACCTCATCCCGACAACACTCTAACACCGCAGAGTCTGAGCGGTAAGAAGCAGGTGTGGGCTTATCAGACAAGCTTGAGCCCAGGTATCCTAAGCACCTCTGGCTCCACTCCGGGTTCCACTGATCAAGAATTGTTACGGAGCTACTGTGTGGAAGACACTCCCATTTGCTTCTCGAGATGCAGCTCACTCTCCTCTTTGTCGTCCGCCGAGAATGTTCAGGAACTGCAAACAGGCAGCGGGAACGATAGCGATTCGTCTCTGGAAATCATAGTACTGGAAGATAAAGAGGCGTCTCAGGCTACAGAAAAGATGGAGAATCACGATGCCTTTTCCTCGAAAGAAATGCCGATAAAATCCAGAAACCATCCATTGATTGGTGCGTCCCAACCCATAGAGATTCCTTGCCCAAAGTTTGACAAATTGTTCATGAGGGACAAGATTACTTCTCAACTTGTGGACACGACTCCGTCAAGCCCATCAGATAACTATGTTCAAGAGACCCCACTGGTCTTAAGCAGGTGCAGCTCAGTCAGTTCCCTTGGAAGTTTTGAAAACCCGTCCATCGCAAGTTCCATTCAGAGCGACCCTTGTAGTGAGATGATAAGTGGAACCATTAGTCCCAGTGACTTACCCGACAGTCCTGGGCAAACCATGCCTCCGAGTCGGAGCAAAACCCCATTGTTTGAGCAGTCGGAAAAAGAAGGGAGTCAGGCCAACGCACAATGGGACATTGATCTGAAGAAACACATGGACATCAATGACTTTAAGGAACGGTTCCACCTTCCTCCAGACATCGACACCATGCTGTACTTCACCTTGGAGAAACCCAACGAGAACTTCTCGTGTGCTTCGAGCCTGAGCGCGCTCACTCTTCACGAACCGTATGTCCAGAAGGACATCGAGCTGAAGCTGATGCCTCTCCTGCAGGAGAAGAACCGCTTTAACTGCATCGCTCACGAGAAGGGAGAGGACCCCAATGAGGAGCTGATACTGGATGGGCTGGGGAAAGCCGACAAGCTCGACTGCATCCTGGAAAACTCTGACGACGACATTGAGATCTTGAAGGAGTGTATAAATTCTGCAATGCCAACTCGATTTCGGAAGGTCAAGACCTCCCTCATATCTGGTCTATCAACTCAAGTGTTGGGCTCTCAATGCCAGAAGTCTCTACAGCTGCCTGTTTACATGCTGCTTCCCACTCATTCCCAATTGGAGTTTTCTGAGCAATGCAAGCCAAAGAATGACGATTCCTCGTACTCGGATTCTTTCGAAGGAACGCCCGTCAATTTCTCCAGTTCTGCCTCCCTCAGTGATGAAACCTTAGAGTACCCGCAGAAGGATTCAGTCAATCACGGACCTATAGTGACAGAGAGGAGAGAGTTAGCGCCTGCAGAAGGGCAGAACACTGATGACCTAGAGATTCCCATCGCTGTAAGAATGCACGACAGGAGTCTCGAACAAGGGAAAGGCTACAAGTCAAATGCGAATGAAATGAAACTCAATTACCCCAGTTCAGGGCCTTTCGCTGAATCGCGAGTGCTGAACCTCACCCAGAAGGAGGTGTTGAAGAGGAATCAGAGCTTCCTGTCTCCACAACCGTCTCCGAGCCACAAGGCTCAGGGCCGTGCTTTTCAGCCAGGGTTGCTCGCGAACGCCTCCAGAAAGGAGCAGACTGTGTTGAAACACGTGGAGTTGAAGGGAAAACGAACCGTCTGTAAGAGTTCGGAAGAGCTCTATCAGAGGCCGGAGAGCTCCTTCGGAGAGAACATTCACGGAAGTTACGCCTTCCAGTCCATACCTCACACCACACCCACCGAAGAGGCCGTCTATTGCTTCTACGAAAACGACTCGTTCGATGTGATGGGGCTCCCGACAGACACGGCGAAGAAAAAAACGGAAACCAAGAACGAGCGCGACAAGATGGCTGGCCAGAACTCCGGAGTGCCACGGAAGGAGGCAGATCCCAACAGCAAAGCGAGCGCTCGGTTCAGGAACCCGGGCGTGGCCGGCAAAACTGAACGGAACCTGATAACGGATGAAACACCCGTTTACTTTTCCCTCAGCTCCTCGTTGAGTTCGCTGAGCGACGTGGAATTGGAAGACGGTCTCGGAAGGACACGAAGAGCGTTTGTAAAGTCTAAGCGACAACAGGGGAAAAAGTGGCTGAGTTCCACAGCTGCTTCCAAGTCATTCCATTCTGGATGTTCCTCCTTAGCCACGACCAGGGACTCGTCGCCTAGTTCCTGGAGTTACGATTCAGAAGACGACCTCCTTCAGAAGTGCATCAGTTCAGCGATGCCAAAGAAGAAAAGGCAGTCGTCGAGACGAAAGTCCGAGAGGTCCGCAAAGCAAAGCCTGAAAGGCAACACTGGTTTAAATGTGGCTTGGGATTTGGAGCAAAGGAATGATACTAGAAGAGAACGTTGGAGCTCGATGTCAGACCTCACCTCTCCTGACCTGGAAAGTTTCGAGTGGAAAGCTATTCAAGAAGGCGCCAACTCAATAGTTACCAGCTTGCACCAGGCTGCCGCTTGCCTGTCGAGAGAACCCTCCTCCGAATCGGATTCCATCTTATCGTTTGTGTCGGGTTTGTCTATCGGATCAACTCTCCACTTCACGCTGGAACGGAAAGACAAACAGAGGAGCCAGAAAGAACAGGCGTGTAAAACGGAAGCTGCGGGCACTGGTAAAGTAGGGAAGACGTTGAATGAGAGTAAAGTAACTGGGAATAAATCCAACAGTGTCGACAAAGGTTCGATCGCACCAAAACAGCCGACTCGGGCAGTGAGCTTACCGGTGGTGTTCAGGGGAAGGACAGTGATCTACATGCCAGACATGTTTAAGAAAACGACCACCGCAACTCCTTCCGTGAAGAAGGCCCCACTCAAGAATAATACTCCTTCCAAAAATCCCAGCCAGACATTCAGATCCAGGAGTTTGCATAGACCAGGGAAGACAACAGAAAAGGTGGACGCTAGTTTACCGAAAAGAAGCGCGACTCCACCAGCGAGGATAGTCCGAGGACCTTCCAGAGGATCATCGAGGAACTCAACACCCTCTAGACAACCGCAGAAGACCGTAACTGTACCGGCACAGGCCACTAAACCAGTGACACTCACTGGACAGAATATTAGCAAGAAACCGAGGTCTCAGGTGAACTCTACTCCCTCCACCCCAAGTGTCAAATCCCCGGCTTTGGGGAAACAGTTGCGTAAATCTCCAGTTCAAACATTGACCAAGCAAGCGGCCCCAGCGAAGAAAGTGAGTTCGTTTCAAAAGAATGAGCCCACACTTCACAGCAAGAGTCAAAGTGCGAAGAGGATTCTGCCCCCAAATAGGTTGGATTTGGTCAGGATGTCATCCTCCAAGTCCAGTGGCAGTGAAGGTGACAAGTCCAACTTTGTCAGGCAGTTGACATTCATCAAGGAATCTTCGAGTTTTCTAATGAGGCAGAAGTCTGAAGTTTCTTCCTCCGAATCCATGTCGTCCTTGTCTCAGTCCGCGTCCCCACGCAGGAGCAAGTCGGATTTTCAGACCACCTTCTTGCGATCTTCTCGGTACCAAGAGCTGAAAGTCACCAAACCAGCCTCTGGCCAGCGTGCGAATCAGCTCAAAAACGAGCGGGTCGTGGAAGGACGCAGAAATGACAAGGCGTTGAGGAGGCCTAGTTCGGAAAGCCCCTCCAGGCTGCCTTTGAAAAATGGTTCCTTGAGGAAACACGAACATTTCAAAAGGTATTCGTCCTCCCCTCACATCAATGTGTTCCAGAGAGCAGCCAGTACGTCCTCTGTGTTCTCCGTGTCCTCGGATTCTAGTGACAAGACGAGGAGCGAAGAAGACCCTCGAAGTAGTCTAACGATTGAAGAGGAAAAGGAACAAGTGCAAAACAATCAACCGAGCTTGAAAGGAACGTGGCGAAGAATCAAAGATGAAGACATCCCTTATCTTCTCAGCAACTCGTTTCCGCCTTCAGCGATGCCCTTGGTAACTGAGACATCGGAGACTGAGCAAATGTCAGGCAAGGGAGATGCTGTGGAAACGAGAACCAGTGACGCGTTTGTGCAAACTGAAGACTTCTCCATTGCAAAAACAAACTCAAGCACGTCACCAACATTGGACCCAGTGCCTCTCCTCACACAAGCCATGACCAGGAATGCCACCAACAGACTATATCTAGGAAAGAGCACAGGCACTGTGTACAGTTTGTATTCGGAAAATGAACAAGAACTTGACTCAGCGCTGCCAATCAGGAACAATGTGGCCGCTGTGCTTGAGAACGAGAGCCACGCTAACGTTACCGGACACTTGCAATTCAGCTCGAGTAGACATGGGTCTCCGAGCAGGGCAGCCCGCGTCACCCCCTTCAACTACATACCGAGCCACAAGACCAGCTCAGACACTGGGTCTCTCCGAGCACCTATTGCTAATGAAAGATCTGCAGGGAAAATCCAAGGCTGAAAGCCATTCTGACCATTTTGGGCTACTCGTGCTTGAAATATTTCACTGCTTCATAGCACTAACTTGCAGAGTGGTTAAACCCATGGAACGACATTCTTATAGACTAAATTCAACACAGCCTTAATTGGGTACAGAATGCTGATTGAAAACAAGACCAGTTTTGGCGCAAAAGTCATCCAATTTAGTTCAGTCACACGATTCTATGACTATTGTTTGACTTTGCGAGGTGAGGCATCTCCTGCAAACCCTCAAGAACTCAGTGTGTACATGTTTGTTCTATATGCTAAGTTCACAGCAGTGAATGACGGTACAGGTCTACGTGACGTGTAACCGAACTTAAGACAACTTATTGCTCTAAAGATCCGCTTTATTAGTGTAACAATTAGTCAAATTTTAATTGCATTTATGTGGCTCCAGTTATGGTTCCGTAGGGTGCTTTTCGAATCTGAGCTAAGTGAGTTGATGATCCCACGAGTTCTCCTGCAAGAAGCAAGACAAAAACGTGACCAGTTTTGTTGCAAAAGTGTGTTCCTATTAGCTAAGCAAACCGCAGTTGCGATGTGACGGGTCTGTGACAATTAATGGAGTCCCCGGACAAAGATCGCTGCCCTATTTCCCACTTACGATCCAGTTTGGAATATGCTTAGCCTAAGGAGAATGTTAAACAATTAAAGCTTACTCTACACCCCCGTTATTGATTGCTGGAGTGTTGGCCAATACTCCCAGACTTCTATACGGTTTGCCGTTGGGCCGTTAAGCATTGGAGAGGCAGGCTAGGTGGGTGAGCACCCTGTTGATGCATCATCGCAGAGTTACCGCAGGCTGTTGTTCTCTTCCTGTTGCAATTCCTGTGACCCCCAAATATTTGCATTAAAAGGAATGGAAATCTATAGCGTCGCCGGTCACATACTCAGAAACGGGGCAAAATCTTTGAAAAGAGATGCTGCCTCTGTCGGCCTGACCAGATGACACGATTTTCTTTCTTAGAACTTCATACGTGTGAGAAATTTGCCTGACGTTGATTGGGATTCGGTTGACACCATTTCTGGTGTCTGGACCAAATGAAGGGCTGGCAGTCCACTTTCCTCTGCTGGCTACAAGTGTCGTGTGAGAAATGGTTGTTCCGATCCTGCCACAGTGAGACATTCCTGCCCACAACGTGGCACAAACTGGCAGCCTTACCCAGAGCAGCCACGGTGAGAATATCAGTTGTCTTGTTGGAATTTCCAACGTCTTGCTGGTACGGCCTTAATTTGGGAGTTAGTTCTCTGGAAGTTCCTTTGAGAACTAACTACAGGAAACTACAGACTTCAAAGTTAAGAGTCAATTCTACAATTTGGGAGAATTCTCCCCAAACTTTTGTGCCAAAGAAAAGAACAACATTTAATGTTTTCTTTGTGCAGTGAGTGACCGGGGCGAGTTTTAAAGCGTCACTTGGTGCCAGAGAGTGGGAATGTTCCTATCTATTGTCCTGCTAATTTTTTTCCACAATAATAGCTAAATGTTTGAACTTTATTAATAGCTATTGTAATGGAGGGAGTCTGAGGATGAGCGAGAAGAGTGACATTTTCCCCTTAGATGGCAAATTCCACAAAGGCAACTCATTAAGAAAAATGCAGTTTAAGTTAATTTAAAAATAGAATAAGTATCATTTTAATTACTTGAAAAGCCTTTGGCTTTCACCCTGACATCCACACTGTGTAGTGTTACCGGAGAATACTGTCCCTTTAAAGCCACCCATGCTTCAGTAGTATTAGGGGCAAATGAACAAGCCATTTATGTATGTATCTATGTTCAGCTAAAGTAGTTAAGTTTGTAGTTAATGTAATTAAACACTGCTTCACTGAATATCAATTAATACAAAGCACAGAAGGACATATAAATATATTTGCCGCAATTTTTATATACTTTATATATAAATGAGCGGGTCACTTTAATTTTATTGAAATGCTAAATTGGCGATTTGTTGCCGACTCCACAGCAGATCATTGGAAGACAGACCGCACTTGCGTTTTGATCGTACATTCACCCGAGTCCCATTCAGTTTCCTATCAGAACACTTGGGTTTCTTTGCACTATTTTTATTAATCACCTGCTGACTCGTAACACTGCTCCGCTACCCTCCATTATTCCTGCACTAACCAGCTGCATTGAATCGACGTCCTCCGGGAATTGCCGTCTTAACCCATCAACGCATGCGCAGTGTAGATTATTGATTGAGGTGTTTCGACTTCCTTTAAATCGGTGACCAGTGGTTATTTCAAAACGCCAAACAGCAAAGTACTGAATTCCATGATGGACCCTTTGTATTGACATTCTGTACATTTTGTGTGCTTTATTATGCATCGTATGTATGAGTTTGGCTGAGGATTTATATACCTGGTTCAGGCACATTGAGGAGGCACTTGATAACTTCAAAGTGCTGGACTTATGGAACCTCCAGCCTAGTCATTGCCTCAAAACTTATGTTATACTGACGTTTGCAAATCGGCAAAACATATATATATATATATGATATATATTGAACTACTGCAGCTATTTGTGTCATTAAAGGGAAAAAAATTAATGTTAAAGAACATTCCATATTTCAACAAGTTTTTGTTTGCCAAATGATGTATATTGCTAAGCTGAAATGTCGTATAACTTTAGTTTGAGCTATGTGTTTGTTATCTTTGGACAGTTGTGTCACTAGATAGTTGCTAAATAGAAATATGAATGTTTCATTCAAGTGTGAAGGGAGAGCTATGTGTTAGTAACTCCTAAAGCATTCAACAGCTTATCTCCCATCTGATATCTGCAACAGGACTTTTCAACTGATTGCAAATTGTACAAATTACTGTATTTATATTTGCTGTGCAATGCTCAGGCACCAGAGCCCAGCACAGCCTCCACAGGAGAAACAAAGACGGAGAACTGATCTAAAATGATCGCTCCACAATTGCAAGGTTTAGTTGCTGGGATCCTCAGGATTTACTGATTGTGCTCACCAGAACGTTGTTTGTCTTGTTCAGACTTAACTCTTGGAACAGATGCACTTTATTGAGAAATTTTTCCAAATGTCCTCACTTTAATCCTATTGGAAACCACGGTTGGAAAATGAGCCAAATTGTGCTCAGCCCTGGAGACCCGTGGACACTTTGGAACATTTAATTTATTGACTATTTCTGACAGAATAATTTCTCTACAGATTGTACACCACAACTGTAAGTGAAAGAAAATGTCTCAAGATAAATGAGTACCAACTTTAAGATATTCAGGACATATTTCCAGATTAAATTTAAACTTCCACTCATTTTTTTGGTATAAGAAAGTCTTCACTTCATCAAGTCTAATGGTTTATTTGCTTTGCTGAATTTGAAATCCTGAAGTCTGTCCGCTTTCCCCCTGTAACATTTGGAGAGAAAAGCTACAACAGGCATTAATTATTAAACGAAACTTTGGAAATGCTGAACCAAAGTTTTTGCTACAGTGTACGGTCACAACAAGAGATTGAGCTGAACTACTGAAAAGGAGTTATTTAAAGGCACAAAACACCCAGTAAATCCTTTTATGTCAGAATACTGCATTGTTTCAAGTTATGTGTAGAAAGTATTAGTTTTCAAGTACCTTGTGGAACTAATGTGTTATATGCAGAGTGAAAGAAAGGCCTCGGCACATTTGTGGTCAAGAATGTGCTGTAACACCGCAAGCTGGAGAAGGGAAGCCACGCTTGAACTTGCTTCAATTTTCTTTGCAACGGAACAAGTAATCCACTTGACTGGAACTGTAATATATGCAAACTGTGGTTGTATGCAGGTTATCCTGTCATGTATCTGATATGCAATTCTGCTAATATGCAATTTATCATTTTTGTCCAGCATGAGCTGCTTGATATAACCAGCGCCATCGTTACCGAGTCAGTTCAACTGATATTAGGCAGGTTGCAGACATCAGCTAAACCCTGAGCTGTTACGGCCTTGAACGACACACTTAGATTTTATGATAGAAATATTGACCAATAAGTACCTTCAGGCAGGGACTTGGCAGCAAGATATCCCAGGACCTGATCACTCAGTTCCAAGTGGCTTACAATTACACATTAAAAATAATTTGGTCACTCAATCCACGACTTTGTGGGACACTGCTGGGCGCCGCATTTCACCCACAAAATATACAATCAATTCACTTTATAGTATATTCTGTGAAGCGCTTTGAGACCGCTCAATGATGACGTCAAATGCAAGGATTATTATTATTATTAACATCAGCTCTGCTTATTTCTACAGTTCCTTACATTTCACATCACTGGATACAAATGCTATTACACACCTCTGCTATACAACTCACTCACGGAGTGCTAATCCAGTGGAACAATGTCTAATATTTGCTGCTGTATTGAGAGTAACAACTTGAGAATTCCTTTTTAATTGTCTGTATGTTTTGCTGAAACCCTAGTGTTGAACTAGAATTATTTCACTTTGTGTTTTGCACTGTTATCTAGATGTTTCCTGATTCTGGAGCCTTTGGTCACCTGGTCAGAAAAAAAAAGTTTTCTATTTTTAAAAGGCATTTTTGGGCTGAACTGAAAGAAAGATGTAAATAACGTGTCCCACTCAAGTCAGAGCTACGTATGTTGTAACTGTTCTTACCAGGGACTCTGGCGCACCTCAATGTTTTTTCCTTATTAAAAGACATAAGAAACTAGAACTGGTCTCATGTTTCACTGTTTAGTTGCAATGCCTGTCACAAACCAGGAGTCCACATCAATCCAGCATCTAACCATACCATTTTAAAATGAAATAGCAACTTCAAGTGTGACTAAAACCTAGAGGTGACAATTTTATCCTGGATTCGCACTCACAGACGAGCGCTGCAGCTACAACAACTTGCATTTATAAAGCGGCCTTCACACGGGGTAGCGTCCCGGAGCGCTTGACAGTGGTGGAGTTTGACCCCCGAGCCAAGGGCAGAGGGAGGTGACAGTAATCAAGATCGAAAAGGAAGGCCTTTAGGCGGGATTTGAAATTGGGTTACGAAGGATTTGAAAGTAGGGATGGAGCTAAAATTAATTAGTTCACATGGAATGAGGAAATAAGCCAAGAAACGAAACTCATACTTTCGTCATTGTGTTGTTGTTCTGCACTAAATTCTGTGCTTTCAATTTTGTCTGAATTTAAGATTTGGGAAGAACTGTGACCAAGTGCTGCTACAATGCACGCTCACTCGGAATGACGCACACACTTCCCACAGCATACGTATACGATACAAACTAAATGATCCACCACATAAGCATTTTACCTTCAACACAAATCTGAAAATATTCATTATGATCAATAATTTTACCCGTAAAACCAATAGTAGAATCTTTAGCAATGCTTCATCTAACACTTCATGGACATTCCAAGCTTTGAACCATTGCTCCAAGCTTTCAGATTGCCTCTATCCTTGTGCATGAAACCACCATGAATTTGGTATAGGGGGAGGGGTAGAGAGAAAGAATCTCAACTGGGTACAGTTTAGAGTGAAACCAATTTATATTTGGGCATCTAATTCCCTTTTCCAAGAATTTAGAGATTCCGTTTCAACAAGTTTGTAGCAGAGAATTCCTAATTCCAAAGATATTGATCAAAATCTGTGTCAAATTCACCCAAACTATACCTCGTCTTAAACACCATTTCACACCAGCTACACTCAAACGGTTTATTTATTTGCTCAACGCGGCTTTACAGTTTTCTTGCGGGTTTCCAAGCTGTCTAGAAGTCTCTTTCGGAAGAATTTTGTGCCGTAACCAAGTCCGGTTAGGTGCCTTAGAAAACATGGGCTCTGTTCTTTCTGAATGTCAACATAGACTGGAATAACCTTCCGTCCCTGCTCAATATAGTGTTGAAAGTTCCACTTGGAGACACTCCAACACCAATTACTGTCCAAGGAGCTTTTAGATAATAAAACAATGGTGGATTTACTTTGTTGGATGACATCGGTAACTTCAGTTATTTGCAGGCCTCCCATTACTTGGTCTTGACGCTCCACGAAGCCCTTGTAGCCTTTCTGGTGCAGCATTCTGGAGATGGTCAATGCCACCTCTTCATCCATCTCACAGTACCAGAGAGAAAAATCATACTCCAACGTTGGGACCGTGTCAATGTTTGATGCCATCTGTTAGAATAGAATACCCGCTGTTATCAGCAGGATCATTTATAGTTGGCTACAAATACAGATCAAATTAGTTTTGAAATGCCTTGTCCTTAATTTCGGAAATGCTCAGGTCTAGTTCCTCTCCAGCTTTCCTCAGCGCCTCACATCGAGCTGCCAGAACATTCCGCTCCTCTTGTAATCGCCTATTCAGTTCAACGTACGATCGGCTTTGCTGGTACTGGGTTTCCAGGTCTGGCATCAACTCTTCTGTTCTCCCTGGAGCCCGAAATTCTGAGAAAACGATGGGAACGACACAATAAACAGTAGGAACAGAAGCTGCTTTTCAAGTTGGTGTTTCTCAGGTGTTGTAAAGGCACCTTGGTGTATTTTAACAGTATTGTAACTTTACAGTAAGTTTCTGGATTACCGTCTGCCATTCGCTCATGCGCACAGCTTCCTCGGTAAGGCTTACAAGTAACAATAAGAACAATCATCATCGTCCTTTCATTTTTTTTTACACAGCGCCTTCTTAGGACTTCACAGGACTTTGCTGAAAGGGTAGTAGTAACCGGGCCTTCGCAGGCAGGTGCGGCACCCAATTCGCACGCGGCAATGTCCTGCAATCAGCCATGAGGTGAGTGACCCACATTTATTTGCTCTTTGTATATTTATTGGTGGGATTCATTGTTCGGCCCGAGCAGCGCCGGAACACAACGTCGAGGGAGATTACAGAGCCCACAAAATGCAGAGCCCTACATAATGTGGTAAGGATTATCATTGTTATTTTATCATCATCATCATCATCAGTGACATCTGGTTTCCCAGTTGACCGCACGACAGGTTGAGGTCAGCGACATATTGAAGCCTCTTATGGAGCGTTTGAGGTTGAAGAGCGCTTAACAGCCACAGTGCAAACACCACCTGAGGGGGTGAGGGAGTGAGGGGGGGGGAGGGGGGGGGGTGAGGGAGGGGAGGGGGGGGGGAAACGGGACGATTTGCAGCTCTGATACCTGCGCCGCCTTCCGCCGGGGAACTGAAGACCGGGTCGCCGGCGGAGGCGCCTGACACGTCGGCCAAGGCCTCGGACACAGAGGGCGGTTCGGGCCTAGTCGGCAGCACTGGTCGCTTCCTGCTTCGAGCGGTCATTCCCACCACCACCTCCACCTCCACCACCTGCACGACCACCACCACCACCACCACCGCACAACCTGCCCCCGGGTCAGACAGAGAGAGTTTAATGAGTAAACCGTCTCTCAGCATTCAAATGCCGCGTCCGCCATTGGCCGGCGCTCCGCCCCCCTCCACCTCACCTCACCACACCTCACCTCGGTCAAACCGACTGACGAGACTCGGCCTCCTCCACCCACGGGTTCAGTCAGCGAGCCCCGAGTGTGGAGGGGCGGCGGCGGCGAGCCCACCAAACAGACAACTGACGGAATAGATTTCTCCCCGCGGGAGCGGAATCCGTTCGCTCCGGCAAAAGAAAATGGCGCCGGTTCACCTATTCCATCCCTCCAACTGTCACTTACCTCTGCCGAGCCCCCCCGCCAACTGTCACTCACCCCCAGCGGCCCCGCCCCGACCAACTGTCACTCACCCCCAGCGGCCCCGCCCCACCCCGACCAACTGTCACTCACCCCCAGCGGCCCCGCCCCGACCAACTGTCACTCACCCCCAGCGGCCCCGCCCCGACCAACTGTCACTCACCCCCAGCGGCCCCGCCCCGACCAACTGTCACTCACCCCGCAACGGCCCCGCCCCACCCCGACCAACTGTCACTCACCCCCAGCGGCCCCCGCCCCGCCCCGACCAACTGTCACTCAACCCCAGCGGCCCCGCCCCGACAAACTGTCACTCACCCCCGGCGGCCCCGCCCCGATAACGGTCACTCACCCGCAACGACCCCGCCCCGAGCAACTGTCACTCACCCGCAACGGCTCCGCCCCGACCAACTGTCACTCACCCTCAGCGGCTCCGGCTCGACTCGACAACTGTCACTTACCCGCAACGGCCCCGCCCCGACAACTGTCACTCACCCGCAACGGCCCCGCCCTGACCAACTGTCACTTACCCCCAGCGGCCCCGCCCCGACCAACTGTCACTCACCCGCAACGGCCCCGCCCCGACCAACTGTCACTCACCCCCAGCGGCCCCGACCCGAGAACTGTCACTCACCCCCAGCGGCCCCGCCCCGACAACTGTCACTCACCCGCAACGGCCCCGCCCTGACCAACTGTCACTCACCCGCAACGGCCCCGCCCTGACCAACTGTCACTCACCCGCAACTGTCCCGCCCCGACCAACTGTCACTCACCCCCAGCGGCCCCGACCCGAGAACTGTCACTCACCCCCAGCGGCCCCGCCCCGACAACTGTCACTCATCCGCAACGGCCCCGCCCTGACCAACTGTCACTCACCCGCAACGGCCCCGCCCTGACCAACTGTCACTCACCCGCAACGGCCCCGCCCTGACCAACTGTCACTCATCCGCAACGGCCCCGCCCTGACCAACTGTCACTCATCCGCAACGGCCCCGCCCTGACCAACTGTCACTCACCCGCAACGGCCCCGCCCTGACCAACTGTCACTCATCCGCAACGGCCCCGCCCTGACCAACTGTCACTCACCCGCAGCGGCCCCGCCCTGACCAACTGTCACTCATCCGCAACGGCCCCGCCCTGACCAACTGTCACTCACCCGCAACGGTCCCGCCCCGACCAACTGTCACTCACCCCCAGCGGCTCCGCCTCGACCTGAGAACTGTCACTCACCCGCAACGGCCCCGCCCCGACCAACCGTCACTCACTCACTCACTCCCCGCCCCGTACCGCGGAGGCGCTCGCGCTGCGCGGGGGTTTGTGGGTGGTGGGTGGTGGGGGGGGGAGAGGCTTCAGGACACACACATGCGCAGTGCCACTTGGCGGGAACGGATCGTGAGGTGGAGGTTCGGGCGGCGGCGCTAACACCTGGTCAGTTATGCCTTTTTTTTTAAAAAAGAAATATAAATATTTTAGGAAAGCCCTGGTCAGCGGAATATGCTGTGAGGCGTTCCTGAACTCCCCGCTGCCGCCGAAAACATTTCTGAGAGGGATTAACTTGAAAAGCTGTTCAGACGGGAAGACTTGTTGACAGCCTTCGGGGTCGGAAGGTTGTGTGTGGGCTCGAGGCCTATGTTGATAATAATCATAATCATAAGCCTTGCATTTGCTGTAGCACCTTATCGCGACGCCGAGACGTCTCAAAGCACTTCACAGGCTACGCTGCAAAGTGTAGTGACTGCATTTTGTGGCCAAAACACGGCAGCCAATTGCACACAGCGGTGCCCCACAGACATTCGTGGATCGAGTGACCGAATTATTATATTTTTTTTTGGTGGGATTATTACCCTTGGAAAGAGATCCACCAATCGACTGACAAGCCCGGTCTACCAGTGCTGGGTAAACAGAGGGCTGTATGTGGAGTAAGGTTAACCTGCCTAAGGTTTTGCCCCAATTACTTACAGAATTCCTCATAAAGGCACAGGATCATAAACAGAGACTCCTTCCGGCAAATCTGAGAGGAACTCTGCTCCGAGTTACCTGAAGAAATCCCCATTCTGAGTCCTTATTCGGGAATCCCTCTAAAGAAAAATTCCTGAGTTTTAGATCTGAGTGTCACTCGTTTCGGTGTGTGACTGCTCATCTATTCTGTTATCCTCTAGCGGTATGAGCTTGCTGCAGAACCGCTGCTCTATAATCTCAGTTGTTCAAACAGTTTGTAAATTTAGTAAGTTCTTCATATTTTTGTTAAAAAAAATACACTTCAAGCAAGTTATTTTGGTAGACAGTGTAAAGGTTTTATATTGTATCATATGTGGTCCTCACACTGGCAGGGAAGGGCTCAATTTCACAGTTGGGTCATTCACTTTTGAGATGCTCACTTTTTCTTTGATTTTTTACTCAGTGTATTCAGCAGTTTTTTGTTCGCTGAAATACAGAAAGACCATTGTTAAAAGCTTTTTTTTAAAAAAAAAATCAGAGCTAGAAAACGCACACAAGACCGATCACAGAAGGATTCATTGTTATTAACAGTTAAAATAAAACTGCTGAAACCAGAAATGTAAATAGAAAAAATATAGAAATATAAAGAGCAGAAATAATGGAGGAAATAAAAAAAGGTTTTGAAGTATCTACGTTGGAATTGAGTTGAGTCTAGGTTGATACTCCAGTGCAGTACAGGAGTGATGTATTGGCGAATCAAGGTCTTACCTATCTGTTTACTTACTTTTTGTGGGTGGTGTGAATGTGTTTGTTTTCTGGGGCACTGAAATGAGAACAAAATTGTTAGTCAAAGAAATCTTACACTACAGTCTTCTCTGCCATTGACTGCCTAGTAAATTGTTGTAACAAAAGACATTGTAGTATCCAACACAATTTACTGTTATTTTTTCGGCTGCATTGCTGACTATCATTGTATTTGGTTTCATGTCTCCAGCAGTTTTCTGGATACTTCAACCAACCAACATTTTATCATGTGTAAATCTGGATAGTTATTGTCAGCAGACTATGCCCTAACCTCGCTGCTAAACATTGTTCAGGCTGTCAATCCACTGTGCTATAGTGCCCTGGGACAGTTCAAAAACATTCTTTGGAAATATGGCAGCCAGAGTATCTGGACAGGTGTGTATTTTTTATATTCTAGGGTTTTTAGGGTCAGTTAGCCACAAAGCACTTCAAAGTATACTGTAAAGTGAATTGACTGTATATTTTATGGGCAAAACCCAATCTAACATATTATCTTCCTTCTTTCTTCTGCTTAGAGTAATGTACCTTGCTTCTTTGCATTCTCTAATGGCTCCTGTGATTTCTCATCTAACTTCTCTTCTTGCCAATGCATGAGAAATATAGGTCGGATTACATTGAAGTAAATTATCCTTGAACCATTCCAATCTACTGGTGCCATGCACCACAGCAAGAATAGACTCTGTAGGGTAAAAGAACAGACTAGCAGTGAGGTTTCATTAAGCTGTTACTTTAAAGTTACTCAAGATTAAGCTGCTATGTTTTGAACATTTGGATTTATTTTCCTGTATCCACCAAATTAAGCAATAACAAGATAGATATTAAATCCATCACATACTTTCAATCTGTGATAACCAGGGAGCACGTAGAGAAAGATTCCTGTCAAGCGTTCTGCTGTACCAAATGATGCATATATCACCCAATACATCAACCACTTCATTTTTTCTTCTTTATTTTCATTTTCAATAGCCAGGACTCTGAAGGAAGTAATAAAGTTTGTATAAATTATCCAATAAAAATGAAGGTGAACTAAAACCATTTAATTGTTTCCATCTTACTCCCTCCCCTCATGATGGCACTAACTTGTGTTGCAGTATGGTTCCATGGGCCCTACGCCACCTCATCTTTATGTGCGACAGTCTCACCTGGCCACCTTACACATTCTCTTTCTAGGAAACCGTGAATAGTGATCAGGAGCAAGAACTCTGAATAATTTTCTTCTCTTCCATGGATTGCGAAGTCGATCACAAAAGTGATTCAGATGATAGAATTCCCACCCTGCCACCTTAAAGCATCAAGGCATTTCTTAATTGAGTTGAGCAACCCAGAGCCCCTCAGCCACTTTTCCAGGTGATCTACTCCAGTTATTACTTACCCTCTTATTTAAAGAAAATACTTGAAAGTGTCAGTCTTTAATATGCCCTGAATAAACCTCAACCTGTGCCTTCTTGACCTGGGCATATCTGAAAGTATCATCTTTGTTTACGTTCTCAATCCTTTGCATCTCATATACTTGTATAAGGCTCCCTTTTGAGAGTAACTCAAGGCTGAAAAACCCCATCTAATCATTTCTCATCCTAACACTGAGGATCGTCCTCATTATTCTCATCTGAACTCCCTTTAGGGCCTGGGTGGTTCCCTCATTGGTGAATTGCACATAGAACGTCAGATGAAGCACTCCTACAATTGCTTTGGCTAAGATCTGGTAATTAGACTTAGACCAGGATTTCTAAAGACTCCAGGAGGAGTCCCCAGTCTGCAAGGATCAGTATCTCACAGTGCATGCAGAAATTATTTCAAATGATTCTTTGAACAGACTACTGTGGGATGCAGTTTACTGCAGCTGTGGGAAATATTAACTGTTTTTGGATTGAGAATAGATTATAGTTTCTTTAAGTTACAGAATATATAAAGCTCTAGGTATTATGCAAACATTCCAGAAAAGGTTCCACTATGTACATATGAAGAAGAGGTACAAAGCCCAATTAATATTCTACAACATTTCTGTTTATACATGTTCTGAAAGCTCTTACAAGTGCTAAAGAATAAATTCAGCTTTCAAAATACTGAGGACTATTTAACCTCTGATCAGAGTTGTACACTACTCTTATCCACTTTCGTAGGAAAGTCTCATCTTCCTTGAACAATTCTTCACCTCTATTTGATTACAGTGCATACATTTCAGTTGCTTTAAAGCTTTGTTCTACTTCCCCAAAAAGGCAGATAAGTAAGGCAGGTAATACTTACGAGAGGTAGGCTGGGTAGAGAAAGATAATTGAATTGAACAATGGAAGCAAGGATACTGCGTATAGAAGCATAGAACACAGCACAAACATGAAGAATAATATTTGAAAAAATCTGAACACGGACACTGACATTACTCTTCATTTAGAATAATTTCCAATCAACTTTTGAGGCATCTCTGCAGCAGGTGCTGGAAAGGTTACCAGGCTGCAAGATAATTATGGTGACATCATAGAAGGATTTATGCAGTCAATTTTGAGATTTAGTTACCACTTTGCATTAAAAGTGCATTAGGACTATTAATTTTACAAAGTGTACCTGGGCAAAGGTGTTAATGATCCACAAATGGCCTCACAAATAGAATTAAAAACTGAATTCTGAAATTTAGATTCCTTCTTTTAAACGAGTCCCAAGTAGTACAATAACATTTGTATATAGCGCCCTTCACATCAAGAGGATGTCCCAAGGCAGTAGTACAGTAGAACCAGAGAGTGGAGAACATTGGTTGACAGGTGCGAGCAGGTAATCCTGGGCTAATGATTTAGGAGGGGATAAGCTCTTCGGCCACTAACCTGGCTAAGATTGCATTTATGAAATGGAAAAAAAACCCACAAATGGTTGAATATTATTGGCAGGTGTTTAGAAAATAAATACAGTGCAGGTATATAAAAAAAGGGACAGGGGAAGGTTTAGTATTTTTATTGAGGAAAATCATTTAATCTACAAGGATTTACTTCACATCAAATTTTCTTAGATGCACATTAGAAAAACTCAGACCTTTAATGCGATGCAATCCCAAGTCAAAATAAATTACAGAGTAAGCTATCACATCACAATCTGGCCACGTTGTCAGTCATTGATGTCTTTGTTGTTCAACATTTTATCCCCAAAACACAATATAGAATACTCTCTCCTCTGCTGTCCTTTCTAAAAGAGTCAGCCCAACTGGAATAGGATACCCAATTTAAACAGTGTATAATTGGAATATAATTAGTTAAATTATTGTTGTAATAAGGTAGGTGAAAATTATTTGTGCAAAATAAAATACAAAAAGCATTCAGAATGAGATCCACAATAAGGATATTGAGGGGACAAAAAGTAATTCAGAGTTGGTAATGGGAAGCAACAGAAGACAGTAGTAAGTTGCACCAGGGGACCAAAGTCATCACAAGCCTCCATTCTGATTTTGTGGAGAATGTCATCAAGTCAAAAAAAACTGTCTTGCACCAACTAGCTGTTTGGCTAATTAGACCAGTGAGCCAATGTATCAGATTGATTATTCAGTTTAGAATTTGATAACCAAAGTAGATCTGAAATTTCTGAAAATCCCCGTACATTTGTAAATTACAAAAGGTTACAAATTTTCTAATTTCATACACTACAATTTTAAAATTAAGAATCTATAAACATTTGCATCACAATTCACCAACTTGTGTTGATGACATTATATTTGCCGAACCAGACAGGTTCCTCTGAACTGCATCACTATGTAACAGCACCTCTAACCAGATTTCAAACTCAAAAGCAGACTTGAAAAGACTAAGTCAGTCTTGATATCTAACTCCAATATACATATTTAATGCAACTCTAATTCATTCAAAGATTTTATACATCAAGAATATTTTGCCAATATACTGTAGCTACAGGCACTAGAAATGTGAATTAAATGGAACTGATTTTTCTTGTTCCAGACACCAAACTAATTCACCTCCTGTTTTACCATTCCTTCAAAAAAGCAAGTTTTAAGAGTCTGAATTGCCAGGATTGCGAATGCAGCAATCAATTAATTTGCACTCACAACTGGGTGAGGATTTTTTTTAAAATCTGATGGTTGTTGTCTAAGATGCTGAGAATTTATTTTGAACAGTGCCAGGTGATCTTTAATGAGATCCAAGAATGGAATGAGGAGATTAAAGTGGTGTGGAGAGCAAAGAGGGGAAATAGTTGGACTCGGATCCATTTCTAGTCAATTAAAATATATTCCCATAACTATCAGCTGGTACAACAAGCCTACAGTAAACTTCAGATTATGAAACTGATTGTAATTACACTTATCTGGGCATTAAAAAAGTTCAAGCTCAGACCAGCAAATCATTTATCATCTAAATAATTTAGACTCAATTATAATCTAAATATACTTATTTTAGATTCCACATGATTTAAGTCTCTGGAGGTGCTACATGTGGCAGATTTATATGGGAGATATAAAGTCAATCCCAACACTGTTAAAGAAATGCTTCTCAGCAGTTCAGAGGGTTGATGATTCTACTACACATCATTTAATGCCTGAGAAGGGAGGGGCCGACGCGATATCACAGATGATCCTCTGAAGTCCTCAATTAGACTTTTGTAGAGCTTGATTCAGTACTGAAATACAAGAGAATTACACGAGTTACTTAAAGAATTCCATTTTAGAAATTGCTGAAAAGATCAGAGTTTTGACTTTCTGACAATGAGTTTAAATATTTCCTTCTACACAGTTTAGCCACTTAAACCTCAAGGCCAAATTAGAGTACAGAATAATATACCGACTACAGGAATAGTTAGTACACAATTCTATCAAATGGACAACATTGCCATTACAGTTGTCTGAGGCAGACGTGGCACATGAAGGGAAAGGTGATTAAGCATTGGAGAGTGGATTTTTTAAAAATTAAAACATTTTACAAAAAAATGTTTCTTCCCCATATTGAACATTGCCAACCAACAACAACTTACCCTCAGTCAATATTCTGTGTATTTTTCTGCCATCAATCTACTGAAACGTCACTCTTTAAGAGTATTGGAAAGGACAGCACAGAAGCAAGGAAAAGTGAGCGGTTAAATGAAAACAAACAAGGCACCAGTACCAGAAGACAGAACAAAGGTGGAGCTTACATATACAAGAATGTAAGCTTTTTGTAATGCATTTCCATTTCTCCATTGTCTTAGGAGAAAATTGCATTGGTGTAACATATCATTTGACATCTATGCTATGGGGTAAAGTGCTGTTTAGCAATTGACAAACCCAATGACTTTTAACAGTAGCAAGATACCAAAGTTTGTGAAAACTGCACTAGACCTACTCGATGGCAAGGTGGGGGTAAAATACAAAACATTTGGTTTATCATGACATTGACATTCATTGGGCTTGGGATGCATCACTCACTATGTATTACCAATGTTTTAGTCCAATAAATATCACAACATTGGTGATCAAGGACTAATGCCAATACCAGCTTTTCATATATTGTAGCTCACTTTCAATAGTGATGCAATTCACCCCCTAAAAAGATGGCATGCTAATAAAAGGAAGTAATTGCTTTAAAGATAAAGAGGCTCACAAAGGGTTAACTGGCAAACCTCCAAATCCTCCTTTTGAGACATCAATCGCTCTGCCATAATATTGTTAAGACTAAGCTCATGATAAACCAGAATATTTTTCCTAATCTAAAAGAAGCCAAGCCTGTTCAGTTACATACAGACACATTGGGTAACTCTTGGAGTTTTCCATCTGGCTTGACAAAAACCTTGCTGGTACTCAGTGTCTGCAGGACTAAATCAGGAGGGAAAGAATCAATGCAAATACTAAAGAAAGTTAACAATAGAACTCCCAATGACTAGAACAAACAGATACAATTCTAATTTCCCTGATATGCTCTCATGCTGCCTGAGAATTTAAGTTGTTTTCAGGCCTGCACTCATCTCCAAGTGTAGGAAAATGTTTAATTGATTATATTATAGGTTGCCACCATTGAAATATGTATCAGTTATCCGTGCACACTTGGCATCAATTGGTTATCTGATAAAAAAGGAAATTAAGGGAAGTAAAATTGAAGACAGAAAGGTAAAAGCTCAGGGTAACACGTTTACTGTTTGCTGCTCCTCTCCAGAACTCTGACGGATTTATTTACCTTCTCTAGTCACATCTTCTGCTACATCCAGAGCTTTTCCACTGAGGTCATTAACCACACAATCCACCTTGGTGTGATGTCTGAGGAACAGGGGCCGAACAACACGTTGGTAAATTGTCTGAGAACCATTCCATGCAACTGGCGCCATGCACCAGAGAAGGAAGAGGCACTGGAGAGGAAGAAAAAAAACATTAGCTGGGAGCATTAAGATTTACAACAAGTATTTTTTAAAAAGTCTTTCATTCATGATATCCATATTGGAATATGAATTGAGTAATAGGGATGTCAATGTTTTACTGGAAACCGTATTCTACCGACTGAAGGGCAGGTGACAAGAAGTAGGCAAGACCTTATCATACACCACTTCGATATAATGTACATGGGCAGGACTCTTCACTGAGGTGGCTAAAGTACTTAGCATTTTCTTCTCTTTCGCTTCTAAAGCCAGTTAGTAAAATTTAGCCACTTGCGTAACTTCTTTCAATAATATAAAGACAAGACATTTTACCAATTTAAAAAATTACAGTACAGATCCAAATTTAATACTTGGAAATTATGAATTATTTTAACACTTTAATTAGCTTTATGCAGAAACTGGCTCTCTTTTTTCTAACTCCTACCAGGAAGTGGTAGGAGTTAAAAACTTATCAGATAAGTGGAGTTTGGGAGCTCTTTTATATAGGCAATACTGCAAGTTCCTTGTTTTCGTCCATCCCCCCCACCAACATGAGCATATTAAATCCTTAACATACCTTTCCTGCATAATAGAAAGGGAACCAGTAGAGGAAGATGTCTGAGAAAAATTCAGCTAAACTGAATATTCCATACACCACCCAGTATGTCAGCCACTTGGTATCGTCCTCTTTGTCTGGGCTTTCAATAGCTTTGATTCTGAAGAAAAATGACAAACACTACAACATACTATGACAACATTAAAATATTTGTACCCATAATGAGACATTGATGTACTTATATGATGCCACTGCATCACAAACAGAACAATGTAAATTCACCTTCCTAACATCCAGCTGCAAGCAGACATCCAAGGTTATTGCGATTTGGAGACCAAAATGCTTAACCTTGCAGCTGGCTGTTTTTGATAGGTACAAGTAGAAATCTCGAATCTCAATGAAGAGAATTGTAGTTTTAGAAAACACCATGGGAAACCGGCTGCTCAAAGGCTTGCGGTGGCATTCTGCCAGTTTATTACATAGAGTAACAATCACTTAATCAGTAACATTTGCAGAGATTGTACAACTGCCTTCTTGTTATCGTATAAAGGTTCACATTGTTCCAATTGTAATGGTTATGTGCTGCAGGAATGTTTAAGTATTTTATTATCTTGGTTACTCAAGCATCGGCACTTCTGTGGGTCCTCCCTTTTAGTAATCAGGATCACCTTCATCAATAATGGGCTCAGTTATCAAACACAACCAGCACATTACAAAGTCAGATACGACACCACATCAATATTCAACTGACAGAATTGAAGGTATTCTCTGATTTTATAACAGGATGGCAGAAGAGTAATAATATATGGAATGTCTTAATTAAGCTAAAGTCAAAACAGTTATATTCATATGATAAAGGGAATTGGAAGGTCATACTTACGATAGGTAGGCTGGGTATACAAAGCCAATTAAATTACAAAGTAAAGATGCTCCATATCCAAATACAAGATATAAGCCAAGCAACGACAATGAACCTAGAAGAAAACAGTGCAGATCATTGAAATGGTGATTAACAAAGTTCAAGTCTGGTCATGTGTGAAGCCAGTAATAAGCTAAAATCTTTTATCAGAGGAACAATTTACAGCAGATTTGCTTACTTTTCTGTTACACTACACTAAAACAGCTTCTCTTCGAGTTACTTCACAACCCGAAAATGAATGATGTTTCAGTGGCAAACGTATGATACTATGACAGAACAAGAGCAGTTTTATGGTAGGTTTAAAAGCAAGGATGGTCAATTTTAGACAGGAATTGTATTAAGCGGGGTATGGTAACAGGTGCTTAAAATTGGAATAGTCTAGTTCCATCCCAGAAAGAAGATTCAAATTAAATGTGAGAGAGAGATGATAACTAACCAAATAAAAATCACTAATTTGGCTCATTGCCACAAATCAAAGTTGGGATGAATATTATTAATATATTGATCAAAGCAGTGATCAATATTCCCAATTGTGGGAGGAAAAAATCATGCCACTCCACATGAACCATAGGATGTACCTGAGCCACAATAGGCACTCACCTCTAGTAAAAAATTACATTTCCCTTTACAAATTTCAGGCATATTTATCTTCTTATTCAGTAGCAAACATGAGGCAGTTTTATTTATCTGCAGAATTTCAGTTAGTTGAGAGTACTCAACTTATTCAGCTCAGCAGACCTTCATTCTAATCAGTTTGGGCAGAATGACATTCCAGTTTTTTCGTTAAAAAAAATCACTCAAATAAAATGCTTAATATTCCCACAGAAAATAAGTGGCACTGTTTAAATAAACTTGGCCAAGAATGAACACATTCCCATCACACTGCTGGCCAGGACACCTTTCTGTCCCTACCATATTCCTAGACTGTGACTATAATAGAAGAGATGAAATGCATCTTGTAGTTGATAAGTCAGTTAACAGTTTTTGAGAAATGTGGGTGTTGTGTCAGGAAACTGGGATCAAGCACATGACTTGAGCCACCTTCTTGCCCCTTGCCTGCTAGGAAGAGAGAACAGCTTTGCATCATATAATAGAACAGATGGCTTGGACTGCATTAGTCTTTTATTTGCACAATTGAGGGATTAAGATGACAGCCACAGTGTGAAGCTTAAGTATTTTCAAACGTCACCTTAACCTTCAGTCTGTCTTACAGACTTTGAATAGAAACTGGGCTCATTTTTGTACAAGAAAAACAGGTTAACTCGCTATTGGCGACCGTTATGACCAGGATGATTTTTTTGTAAAATACTCTTGTAACAGAGTAAAAACGTTGCTGCAGTTCTACCAACTCCATCACATAACTCATGTTACAGGACAATTCAGATAAGACATTCGTACAGTAACTTCGTACGACTGAACCACAAACTGGTATAAAATGTATTGAACGGCACTTGGGGTGGGGGGGGGAGGGGGAATACTTCCAGATCATGGAATAATCCAGTGACGTTATTTTTAATTACTTTGCAATTAAAAACGCCAACCAGTCTCAGAACGCTTCCCCATTAATACACTCAGTCTCTCGGATTAACAAACTGAAAACGACAGGTGCAATAATACACCACCTCCCTCTGCAAACAAAATGGCAAACAAATTGGTGCCAAGTTCCCACCAATTATATTACATGGGCCCCATAAAAGTTAACCAGTACATCAGGTATAGGAATGCCCGACATTGTGCCGATGTAAATTCAAGCTCTCATTGAGGCAAATTGAACAGGAATAGACGGTTTTGCCAAACCTTACTCTACTGATCCAATGGATCACTGTACAACTCTTTAGAGACGTGCAGTGCAGTGAGTTCACTTCGACTCGGAATATACGTTATTTAGGTGAATTTGCAATGACAAATTGATGATACGTGTTGCAACCATCGATGCATTTAAGTGCTCGAACCGCAGTCCTCCTCCACTCGCACACGATATGCACATCGACAATTCGCAGAGCCCAACAACAACACCACCACCAATAATAATAATAATAATACAGCACGAAAGTCCACTTTGAAAACAAGACATTCTGCACAGATGCAAATCAGACAAAACCTAGAAAAGTCGCCGACCCTCACTTATTTTTTTTGGGGTGGGGAAAAAAAACCCACACAGGTAAAGATCGGGTTTTTAAAATCCCGGTTTCCTTCCGCGTTACAAACTCGGGGACAGTGTTTTGTCCGCTCTTAAGTCTCACAAAACGTGGCTCGGTTACCGTTGGTAGTTACTGTGCAACTTGGGGTCATCTTTCCCCCCTCATCACACACACACACACACACAGCGGCAAAGCTATTTATTTAACATGTTAAAAGACACTGAACGGAGGAAAGGTTCGAGTGATTTGCATCAGTTAATTGCTAAGGTGAGCCCCACACACACACACACACACACACCGCACCTGTAACGAGTTGGGACTTCCGAATCCCGGTCCTCTTCTCGATTTTGCCCAGGAAGTCGGTCAGGACGTTCTTCTCGCTCAGAAACCTATCGAAGCGATCGCGTAAGGATTTCATGTTTCTTTTCAAGAGCGAAAGTATCTTCACCTTCTCGACTTCTGCGTCGATCGCTCGTCCGTCCCCCCTCCTCCACCCCCTCAGCTCCTTATTAATAAAATAAAAAAAAATAGCACGTCCTCTTCTCCCCAAGTCCGAGCTGTCGACTCTGATCCCACACACACAGACACACACACACCCCCCAAAAAAAAAACTGCTGACTTTGCCCTTTTACTCAATCGGCTTTGCTCACCACGTCTGCGCACGGCGTGGGCTGGAGAGGAGGATCCGGAAGTACCACCTGGTCCTTGTGTGTGTGTGTGTGTGTCTGTGTGTGTAATAGCAGCGGCGGTAACACCGGGTTTAATTAGGGTCAGAAAAGGAGGAGGAAAGATTCCCGACGCGAACCTCGGTTGCAGCAATTTATTTGTCGGTGCTGCAGCGCGCGTAACACAACCAAAAGCGCCCGATTGTGACATTGCACGCCCCGATTCTGCACCACCACCGCAGTGGGGTTGCGGGACGGCGGTGCCGTTACCTTCGGCAGGAATTCAGAGAGAAAGCGAGAGAGAGAGAGAGAGAGAGAGAGCGTTAACGTGGGAGTCTCGCACGTTTGCAGCCCACGCACTGGACTGGAGTGGCCGAGGGCAATGCCACGCGCGCGCGCGCGGCTCGCATTTTTACACGCAACGAGGTGCCCGCAACGCCGAACGCCTCGGAGCTGGTGGCTTCAAAACCCGTGCAGCGTGGCTGGTTTGCAGGTTCAATGGTGGGTGTGAGCGGCGGCGGCGCCTGGTTATAGCTTCAGCGCCGACCGCCGTGTCGATGCAGCCTCGGCAGCGATCGGGGCCCCGGTGTGAGCGGCACGCGGCCCCAGGTGGTGACGCGCTCGGCCGGACTCGGCTCCCTCTCGCTCGGCCGGACTCGGCTCCCTCTCGCTCGGCCGGACTCGGCTCCCCCTCGCTCGGCCGGACTCGGCTCCCCCCGCTCGGCTCCCCCGCTCGGCCGGACTCGGCTCCCCTCGCTCGGCTCCCCCGCTCGGCCGGACTCGGCTCCCGCTCGGCTCCCCGCTCGGCCGGACTCGGCTCCCGCTCGGCTCCCCGCTCGGCCGAACTCGGCTCCCCTCGCTCGGCTCCCCCGCTCGGCCGGACTCGGCTCCCGCTCGGCTCCCCGCTCGGCCGGACTCGGCTCCCGCTCGGCTCCCCGCTCGGCCGGACTCGGCTCCACTCGCTCGGCTCCCCCGCTCGGCCGGACTCGGCTCCCCTCGCTCGGCGGTCTCCGGAGGCAGCGGCGCCGGACTTGAATCATAACACGGGGCGGCGGTTGCAGCGGCGGAGCGGAGCGGGCGGTGAAGGAAGGGGGGGGACGTCGCCATTGAAGCCAAGTCGGCGGAGCGGGGGGGCGCGGCGCGGCGACACTCGCCTCTCGAGCGGCAGCCAGTTCGCGGCTTTGGTCTCACCTCGTGGATACGATGCGGCGGCGGCCGCTCGGGCGAGGCTGAGGCTGAGGCCGGACCGACACGACGACGGGCCGGGATGAGGCGGCGGTGGTGGTGGTGGCGGCGGCGGCCGCCGCTGCTGCTGCTGTTGTTGTTGTTCCTGAGCCTGGCTAATGGCGGCGGCGCGGTCTACACCAACACGTGGGCCGTGCGACTGGCCGGAGGGGCCCAGGCCGCCCGGAGGATCGCCCAGAAACACGGCTTCACACACTTGGGACGGGTAGGGGCTCCGAGAGGCCAGAGGGGGGGTCAGACCGGGCACCGATAAGCTCTGCTCCCGTCTTACCTTTTTTTACTCACTTGTACGCCGTCGTGTGGCTGTTATAGTAGTGCACGTTTCCGTTGCGTTGGGGGCCACGTTCACGGCCGTTTGCAGTCCCGAGTCATTTGGGAGCCATCCATCCCCCCCCCTCCCTCACACCCTCCCTCCCTCCCTCACACCCTCCCCCCCTCCCTCAGACCCTCCTTCCCTCCATCCCTCCCTCCCTCAGACCCTCCCTCACACCCCAAGACAGTGACTTCGATGGAGGCTTTCGAGTATCATCGATCATAACTCGCTCGGGATTTGAAACCGTTTCACTTAGGGGACCCCCTGACGTTAACGTGTGCCCCGCGAGTCGACTTCTCATCAGCAACATCTCCATTTCATCGCCACTTTTCCACTTGGTCTGTGTTTCTTTCCCCCCCACCACCACCACCACCCACCCCCCCACCCCCCCACCACCACCACCCACCCACCCCCATCAGCTCCACTTTTTTTTATATATTGGATCCCGAAAATTATTGTGGCTTTTGTGAGATATCTTCTTTGAGGTCCGCACCTCTTGTGGCATCGCGACCGATAAGAGGAACGGAGACTGTAAAGGAAACCGGGTACCAGACGAACTAATTCTTGCGCCGTTCCGGGAGCGGTGTCTTAAAAGCTGTGTCAAGAGTCTGCTTTTGTTTCGCAGGTATTTGACGATGGAGAATATTACTACTTTAGACACGAAAGCGTGGTCAAGCGATCCCTTAATCCACACCAAATGCGACACAAGCTTCTTGAAAGGGAGCCCAAGGTAAATGAAGTGGTAGTGTGGATAAGTCGTACCTAACCAATTGAGTACACAAGAAGGGTGTCCTCCCAACACTGCACAGGGGTGTCAGCCAATACTTTACGAATTCAAAGACCCAATGGGGGGTCTTGAACCTCTATACTGTCGGGTCTAAAAGTACTGGAACTCTGCCCTGTGTGAGTGGTGCTATATCAATGCAAGTTGTCGATATTACTTTCTGCCACTTCAGGTTCAGTGGCTGGAGCAGCAAGCAGTGAAAAGACGGCAGAAGCGTGCATTTGTCATTCCTTCAGATCCTTTATATCGTAAGCAGTGGTACTTGGTAAGCATACGATGCACATTGGGGGTTTTACCCTTAGATCGTTGTTGGTTTCGCTGTTGTCTCGGATTGTATTTGGGCTGGATAATCGTTTAAAGCTCTGGTCGCTGATGATGAGACAGATCATTAGATCATTATGGACATTTATACAATGGCACGACTTGCAGTTTTGAATCCGTGACTACCTAATTCCTGTGATGTTTAAATAAATCAGCTGCAGAATAATTGGTGTGAAATACTGTCTTCACTTGTAAAAGATACACCATACTCTCTGCTTGCCTAAGGGATTGTTGTGTGGTAAAATTAGTTTTGGTTTAGATATTTATTCCTCATTGTTTTGCAGCCGTTTGTATTACAGCTAGTGCTACTTTGTTATTCAGAACAATGAAATTCCCAATGACCTGAATGTGCTGTCTGCCTGGAAACGGGGTTACACGGGCAAGGGGATTGTGGTCAGCATTTTGGATGATGGGATAGAGAAGAACCATCCGGATTTGGCTGCAAATTATGTAAGTAACCGTTACTGAGAGAGAAGTTCAATACAATAAAACTTTACATTTATATATCGCCTTTCACACCAGGCAGACGTGCCAAGGTGCTGATTCCATATAAAGAGCAATGGAAGGATATGGCGATCACACTTTCTTCAGTGTGGTTCTTACTGTTAGCGTTTCCATTATGACTCATTTTAACAAGGTCTGGCCAATCATGAGAAAAGATAATGTGTTAGTTGGTTAAATTTTTGACAATCAAGAAAAATCAGCAGCATTTTAGCACTAGGTTTGAAATTCCACTTAGAACATTGTATTAATAATTAGAATGCAAAGTGTTATTCTCTGGTTTTTGAACAGAATCTTCTACTGCACGTGCAATATCCAAAAGTGTTTCACATAGGATCTTATAGCCAGCAAATCGAGTGGAAACATATTACTACTAATTGTTACTTACTAATCTATCTACAAACATAGTAGTTCTTGTGCCAATTACACAATTGAATACAAGAGATTTGCTTTCCCATTTAGATGATTCTGCTTTACAGACCGATAAGAGTTATAGAATCGTAGAAATTTACAGGACTGAAGGAAGCTATTCAGCCCTTCAAGTCTGCACCGGCTCTCGGAGCAAGTGCGGGAAGCATTCCACAGTATGGATGAAATCAAACCGGATGAGATTGCATTTTGCTGGTTGTAGTATGATATTACTGTTTTCTTTATAGCTCTTCAGGAACTGTTACTCACTGATCCAAAGGGTGCAGTACCACTGAATTTCTGACCAGCCTTAGTTAGTCTTTTCCACCAGCCAACTTTCTGAAAAAGCTGAAGCTATTTGTGTCGCATTGAAAATTAGTTGAACACTTGCAATTGCATAAGCATACTTCAGTACCATTCCTCTCTTTATTTTGTTTATTAGGTTTCATTTTGTTTGCAGGACCCCAGTGCAAGCTTTGATATCAACGACAATGATCCTGACCCACAGCCCAGATATAACTTTAATGATGAAAATCGGTGAGTTCATTAGACTTAAATGTATTGCTTTTAGACGTTTATGATTTTCAATTGAGTTTGCAATAAATGCAGAGGATGCAGTAATGCAGGAAGAGTTCAATCATGTGGAATGATTTTTACTGGAATCAATAACTTGGGCACGGGGAGATAGGGAAATGATAATGTTGCATTGCCCTCAACATTTAATAAGACTACCAAACCTTGGAGGACTCAACTCGTTAAGCGACTGGGTCTGCCTATATTCTAATTACTTAATAATATTCTGGTCATTGTAATACAAATGTCAAACTGAGCAACTGTGATCTTGGAAGTCATCCTATTTATTCTGTTTAACAGACATGGAACTCGTTGTGCAGGCGAAGTGGCTGCTGTAGCCAACAACATATGTGGAGTTGGTGTAGCGTTCAATGCCAAGATAGGTGGTAAGATATCCACTTGTACTGTACCAAAAAGCTGAGGATTGTGCAATGAAAATACTCATGTCATTTGCAGTATCCTTTAGATTTGCTCACATAATACAGTCAATCCACTTTACAGTATATCCTGGGAAGCGCTTTGAGACAATGTGCAAGGCACTATATCAGATGCAAGGATTATTAGTATATAACCTATCCTCTTTCCTGGAATGTTTGGCATTTATTAAGTAGGAGAATTAAGATAATCATAGAATCTTATTGCACAGAAGGTGGCCAGTCGTCCCATTGTGCATGTGTCGGTTCTCTGAAAGTAGATGACTTAATACTGACCGTGCTATGCTTTTGGGGAGAAAATTGTTGCTGTACATCTGCTTTGAGGATTCTACAGGTCCTGATAAGAGGAAAGCTGCCGTTCCAGGAAATCCCACTTTGTTTTCTGACTGCAGGAGTTAGGATGCTTGATGGTGAGATCACTGACATAGTGGAGGCTCGATCTCTCAGCCTTAACCCTCAGCACATTCATATCTATAGTGCCAGCTGGGGCCCTGAAGACAATGGGAAGACTGTGGAAGGACCAGGACTGCTGGCAACTCAGGCATTCCTCAGGGGTATTACAAATGTAAGCTAAGATATAGTTAATAAACATAGTTTATTTCACATAGTAGGCAAAATATGAAATCCTATTCCACAGTCTACACTTACATTTTGCCCACAAAATATACAGTCAATTTGCTTTACAGTATATCCTGTGAAGCGCTTTGAGACATCTCGAAGACGTAATAAGGCGCTATATCAAATGCAAGGATATATTACATGATTCACAATTAAAATAAGGTGAATTAACAATAAGGTAGTTAACAGTAAAATACAGTAACTCAAAATACAATTTAAAAAAAAATGGAAGTTGTCTTTGGAAGAACGGGCATCGAGGGGACTGGTGAATTAATCCATGAGTAAGTTATTTCCACTTGTTGTTTCTTAGGGTCGAGGTGGCCTTGGTTCTATCTTCGTCTGGGCATCTGGTAATGGAGGCTTCCAGTATGATAACTGTAACTGTGATGGTTATACCAACAGTATCTACACGCTGTCTGTGGGGAGCACAACTGAACTGGGAAATGTCCCGTGGTACAGCGAGGCCTGCTCTTCAACCCTGACTGCCACTTACAGTAGTGGGACCAGAGTAGAAAGACAGATTGTAAGAAAATTGTTACTATACTTAAGGCATATATTTAAGGCACATACGATGAATCTGGTATAAAATGAGCAGTTTTAGGTGTTGGATAAACTCCTCGAGGTACGTGGAAGTGGCTGCGTGAGCAGAAACTGAATTGCCACCAAACTGATCTTGTGATGAGCTGCAAGCAAATGCTTACAATGAACAATTTAATGGCTACCACATGTTGGTTCATTTGCTGGAAACCTTTTTAATTTAATGTTGTCACTCTCTTTAGGTGACTACAGACCTCCGTTTACGATGCACGGAGAACCACACCGGAACATCTGCTTCAGCACCGCTAGCAGCGGGGATAATAGCTCTTGCATTGGAAGCTAAGTAAATGTTACTAAGTGCAGGGAAATGATTTCTGCAGTGCAAGCAGTCACAATATCAAGCCCAATATCTCTGCTTGCTCTGATTTCTATGTAATTAGTTTCAGTTAACATTACAATGCTTTTGCGTTGCCTCTCTTCATTCGGATTACATTTTTAATGTATAATTTCTTGAATACAGTTTGCATCCACAAGAAATATTAACCACTGCTCGTTGGCTTTAAGTCTTTCAATTATTTCAGCTTTTGAAAAACATTGCAATAAATCGACCCTGCAATAATGCTGATATCTTGGAATTCTCTGTGTTTCTATAGCCCTACACTAACTTGGCGTGATATGCAACATATTGTTGTGAGAGCATCTAAGCCACTGAATCTGAAGGCAGATGACTGGGCCAGAAATGGTGTGGGACGCAAAGGTGAGGAGGAACAGCTAGCCCATTGACCAACTGTTGGAATCCCCGTATCCATTGCTGAATTGGGAATGTGACTATAAACATTGCTTTTAAATCTCTAATACAAGGGAATGTCATTATAGTCCGCTTCGATATACTTGTGTCCCATTTAAAGCGTGGATCCATAGTACAGGTTGTATCCAGGACCTATTACAAGTCATCAGGTTGTCACTGAATCATTTCCTGCTCATTGTGTGTTGTTGGTTCATGTCTTACCACTTGAACAAGAGCTACTCAGATCCAATCCTAATTAAATAAAACAGGATTGTGAGCTCCCTCGCCATAATAAGCAGGCTCTGCATTTCGGAGTAATAAGAGGATTGAATTTAGACTTTGTCTTGGAGGATATGAAATGATGGCAAAATGAAAAAAGTAGAAATGTCCATGGCTTGGTTTCCTCTTGAAATCCTCTTAACTGGATAGCGAAATGTTATAACTTGTGTTCTGATTCATTATTTTCAGTGAGCCACCATTATGGGTATGGACTACTGGATGCTGGACGTCTAGTGGATTTAGCCACAAAATGGCTGACGGTGCGTCCACAGAGGAAATGCTCCATCGAGGTTATTAAATCCCCACAGTAAGCGCGTCCATGCAAAATGGACTTATTGTTGTTCAATATATACAATTTTAACTGGCTGAGGTGGGTGTTTAAGATTCTCTGGCGTCCTGGCCAAAAGTCCTCCAGATAAACTGGTCATTTATTTCATGACTGTTTGTAGGATCTTGCCATTTGCAAATCAGATTGGCTGCTGTGTCTGTCCTCAAATAGTCTCTACCACTTGACAGAATTATTTGTGAAGCAGTTTGAGACGTTCACTTGCAACGATAATTATTATAATTACTTCAGTCATAGAAATGCTTAAGTATGAAGTGTAATCTATTTTATTCTCAAATGATTTCTATGTTTATCCAATATTAATGCCGCTGCTGTTGTTCCAGAGTTATCTCCGGAAAGCTTACTATCAGGAAGAACGTGGTCAGCGCTTGTTTGGGAACTAAAAATTACATCCGGTCGCTTGAGCATGTGCAGGCTCAAATTTCACTGGCGTACAGTCGCAGGGGAGATCTGGTGATATCCCTCATCAGCCCCGGAGGAACTCGCTCCAAGTTGGTTGACGTAAGGTATGAAGTGGTTTTAGCGCTCTGGGACTCTGCCCTGCTTGCAGGGCATGTTGTATCCATTTACAAGAGAGAAATGACTGCTATTTGCACACCTGAGAGGAGTAGACCTCTGCTGGTTAGTTTGGAGTAAAGATGTTTAGAATACATTAGTCACAATAGTGATTCTGCACCAAGTTCAAAACGGTTGCAGTAGACGGTATGGTCATGTTGTGTCAAGTCGATAACCGAATGAAATGGTCGTAGATATGAAGTATCTAGTGCATGTGGATTTTGTTTTAAGTTTTGCCGACAAAATATACAGTCAATTCACTTTACAGTATATTCTGTGAAGGCCTTTGAGATGTCTCAAAGACTCTAAGGCGCTATATCAAATGCAAGGAATGTTATTATTAATTAGGTATGAGATTCCCTGGGACTAAATGAGCACACCCAGTATCTTTGTTTTGTGGTTTTCTGTAGACCTTACGACACCTCATCCCAAGGGTACAGAGACTGGACCTTCATGACGACACACTCCTGGGATGAAGACCCCAAAGGCTTGTGGACGCTGGAAATTGAGAATAAAGGGGATTTCACAAACACTGGTGGGTTTAAAACCTTTTTGCGGGAGGGAGTGAAGGTCATTACTTTGAGTATTAAATCTAAACACACTAAGAACATGATTTATCGCTTGGCCACTTTACCTTTCCATCCTAGCAAGAGGGGAGGAGAACTGACCTTTTTATTTTCTTACAAGTTGATGGTCCTTCAGTTGTCACTGATTTTAGATGTGGGGAATTAAAGTATTTTTTATGCTATACAAATGGTAGCTAAAATAGTCTTAATAATTTCAGTGCTCCAAATTTCTGTTTTTGACAGTTATTCAAAAAAGTAATGCCTGTTCTTGATAGTTCACGCTTGACTGAATACCAACCATCACTAATAGTATTTATTTATAACTTTCCTAAACACAGCAAAAGTATCACTTGGCTGGAGACTTGACTTTGTGCCAAGTCATTAAGATATTCAGTTCCTGAGGCTATTCTTGACTGTATTTTTTTTACTTTGATCCCAGTTTTGCCCCAAAAATATACAGTCAATGCACTTCACAGTATATTCTGTGAAGTGCTTTGGGACGTCTTGAATATGTGATAAGGTGCTATATCAAATGCAAGGATTATTACTCGTGGCAGAAAGTCTTCTGAGCAGCAGTTGGGTGGTCTCAGTACACCCTTAATATAAAGTAAACTTACGGCATATCACACCTATGTATGAATTTATAAATATAACTGAGTGGATAATGGAATACAGAGAGGTTCTCTGCTTGAGGTGTAATAGAAGTGGGATCTCAGCAGCTGATGTGCAATCTCTCCCCTGCAGGGGTTCTGACCTACTTTGTGCTGCAGTTATACGGCACTGATGAAAACATGATGGCAAGACGCATAACTGATGCAGTGATCAGTGACTGTAAGAAATGGAACGAGAATGGAATCTGTGAAGGTAAGTAAAGAATTCTACATTCTCATACATGTGTGTTAATCAAAACAACCCCACCAAAGTCTGAGAACTTGTGTAATGTCCATCTAATGTAATGCGATTCCACCACAATCTCTAAACACACCTAACGGAAACCTCTAACTCCTCAGTGTGTAGAATTCTGTAGCTAGTTCACTACTCTCACGTTACCAGCACTTTCTCTATTACATCTAGACTAACAGTTGGCCAGGAGTGCTTGACAAGGCTGTAACACAGTACAGGAGTTCAGATAATGTCACAACTGAGAGAGTAGTCCTGTGATGAGGAAATTATAGTTTTATAGCTACGAGGTAAGTGGCAAGGATGGTAATGCATCAAGCAGTTCAGGTGAAGTGCCCAACAAGTGCTTCTAATTGTTGTCTATGAACCTCGTCTGTGAGGTGCTGATTATTCGCACTTACTGACCGAGGCTCTGGAATTCCCTTCCTCACTCCCTTCACCTCGCCCCCTCTCCCTATTTTCAGGTCCCTGCTGAAGACTTTTGACCGTGCCTTTGGTCCCCTTCCTCCCCCTCCCCCTCCCCCTGGCTCGGCCCTGGGATCCATTACTGTGAAGCGCTCTGAGACTTAGCCCGGCGTGAAGGGCGCTATATAAATCTAAGTTGTTGTTGTTGACTGGGAGCTCCCATTGTGGATAAGTAAACTTTGTGGATAATTGGCCATCTCGTATTATATAGATTGGTTAAAAGTGTTAACCAAACATTTTTCCATCAGGTGTTACTACAGCTATTATAGTACCCATTGGGCAGCCCCTCTCTGCCCCCCCCCCCCCCCGAGTTCTCTCTGCACCCTGTTTCTTTCTCATCCTTTCCTAACCCCCCCCCACCCATAAAAAATTGCAGTTGGAAAAAGTTGCCCTCTGGATAAATCTTGTCCTATGAGCATCACAACTTCACATTTGTGCGCAGGCTTTTTTGATGCCGGTACCTCAAAGCCTCGTGTCCACTTCTAAATGGAAGCCTGATGTGCATAAACTGATGTGGATAATTGTCGTTCAGATAACTGGCATTCTGCTGTAATGGATTTACTGCTTGGTTTCTGGTGGATCTGTAATGTCAGACATTTGTTGGGGTCTAAAAGCTTAAATTATTCCAAGGTTTATTTGACTTTGTAAAGCAGAAAATACATGTTTGTTTGTGCTGGGACATTGCTGAAATCAAGAAATTCCTTTCCACCTACTAGTGGTCTTTTAACACCTAGACTTTTAATCTTTCTAGAAAGGAAATGCATAGTTGGAAGAAGAGTTCCAACTTGAGATACGCTTCTGAAAAGATCACTTGAGAAGTGATCATCACATTTTTTTCTGGAATAAGAGATAATGTGTCTGCCCTTAAACATAGACTTAGAAACAGACTTTTCTTTTATATCTCTATAAATGAACAGCAAAACCAAACATTATAATTCTGAGAAAATCTTAAATTTTGAAAAACAGCAATGGATAAAACTCATACCATACAGAGTAAAAGATCATGAAGAACACTGAAAAGGCATCTAAAATGCTCAGCTATATAGGAAAACTCCAGCGTTAATGATAGACTGTCCAGCACACAGCAAAGCAGAGCTAATGCTACCAATTGCATGATTACAAGCACAGTCGTGTACAATGTGACTCTGAGGCCTAAACCACAATATTTGCTACTTGGAATTGCAAATGGAGACTCCTGTAGGAGCGTGTGTCACATCAAACCCCTTGGAATGGAGCTTCAACACAATATGCCATGCTGCCACGTGTATAATCAGGTACTGGAGATCTACAAAGTCCCAAACCTGTTCAATAACGGGGCACGATCACTGTTAAGTGCTTCTGCAGCTTGTTTGAAAGCTGGGTTATGTCTGAACCACAACTGGCTGACATATCATCAGGTCACCACCGATGGGGAAAATAGCAACAACCTGATGATTTGGAGGTTGGTCATTTTTCAATTGCTGAGAAACCGGTCAATGTTTAGACCCGCACCAGTTGCTTTGTGCAGCTGGATGGCCTCCCGACGTGAAAGGTGTTATACAAATGTAATCTTATTGTTGTTGCATGCTCTTCAGATTTTCTGGTAAGTGGATGTTGGGATTCACAACCCAACAATATAAGCAAAGCCACATTATAATTAATTCTGTTGTAACAGGGTCCTTCTGTACTTCCAAAGTGGAATTCAGGTTACTGGTAAGTTGTTTTTGACTCCAGGTAGCAAATATTGAGGTTTCAACCCCAGGTAGTCAAGACAATTGAAATTGGTTCCTTTTCGCACATGTCCAGTCATTTAATTATTGCACTTGGGTAGCTGTTGCATACAATTAGTCATTGCCAGATTCTTGCTTGTTTACGTGTCCAGAGTTAGAATCACACAATATGGGCAATGCAGGTTCCTGCTGAATGTTCCTATATGGTTGCGGTAGTTCCAAAATCATGTTTAAGCAAATTGTAGAAGTGGCATAAAATGCAACATTTGTTAAGCAAATGTCAATTAAATGGCTTGTGAATAGAATAGATTCTGTTCCTTAATTACTACTGATGATTAATTGTAGAATAACTATCAGTTAACATTCATTATTTACAGCAGTCTTAGTCGCGGTTATGAGGTGACCTTCCTGTAGTTGACCTTGCTGCAGACCATTATCTTTGCTGCTTTAGAGCAACACTGATATAATGCTTCTCTTCAAACTACTGATGCATTAATCAGGATCCAACCCTTTACTTCTATGATCACTTCTAACTATGGGATTTGGGGCACCTGATTGTTATATGTATCAACATACAACCAGACCTAGAAGTGCAGCTCGCTGAATGTACTGATTGTATATTACATGAGGCCGAAGGAATGACTCACCCTGAAGGTACTGACAATAAGCCTCCGCAATTTTCTGGCCTCTTGTTTTGTGCATCACGTGATGAGTGACACATTTGGTGTCATCTCCAATGCAACAAGTAATGTCATTTATGCAGCAGATATGTATTAAATACCGGAACCTGCACCTACCTGGACTGGAGGGCTGAGAGCAGTGCCTGATTATCCGGTGAATTAATAGTTAGTTGCTTTTTTATAACTTATCTGGGAATGATTAAAATCCCTAAAAGCAAAGTACTACGAGATATAAGAATGTAAGAAATTATGTTTCTTTTAAATTGCAAATAGTTTCTTTTTCTAACGTGATTTTTCTGGTTCTCATTTACCCCTAGAATGCGAAGGTCCTTTCTTCATCTTTGGACATCTGTGCGTCACTTACTGCCCTCCACGCTATTATAATGTCACAAGGACTCTAGCCAAGAACAACCTTAACAGAAGCATCTCCGTAAATGTCTGTGTTCCTTGCCATTCGTCCTGTTACTCTTGTAGTGGTAACTCTGTAAATAACTGCATAGCGTGTCCTCCGTTTTCTAATTACGATGAAAAGCGACGTTCCTGCTCGCCTCCCGTTTATCCCAAACATTCGGGGATAAGCGATCCGGTCAACTCCTCCAGGGAGCATCACAAAATTGCGGTGATGGTTGCCATCCTGATTGGAGCTCCCGTGGCCGTGATGTGCGGCATCACGTCACTGTCGTGGTTGATGTACCGTCTGAGCGACCAGCAGACCGTAATGGTCACCACCTCCCCAGTCGAAAGTTTAGAGAGAACACAACTCCAGGCACAGGGAGAGCAAGTGGACGAAGGAACCGGAAGCAGCGAGACGGAATCAACGTACTTTATCACACGGTTGGAGCCACAGCGGGATCATTAAACCAGTAAATTTAAAAATGCTGATGCAGTCAGTAGTGTTCATTTTCATCCAAATTTAAAATAATCGTGTATATAACTTTACCTCCACTTCAGGTGGATTATCCAGTCTCGGGGCTGAAACGTGGTCTAAAATACACCAGTTTCTCTATTCTATTATATGGGCATAAATATAACATAGTAGCTGAACTCTCCGGTTCGAGACCGAAGAGAGAACAACAATATGTTTAAGCCTCTGCCCATTTACTGATAAGTGTTCTCACAAATGTGCAGTGATTTGGCTTCTGTAGAATGAAATGAGGTCGGGTAGGTGTTCACATTGTACAGACTTGCATTTTAGGAAATGAAGATGAGAATGAGGGAGTCTCGGTTTCAGTAAAACGAGTTCTACAAGATGAATTCCTCTCAAACAGTCACCTAACAGTACGTTTTAGCCGCCAGTGGGAGCTTCTCTACACTGCGACAAACAAGAACAATTTACATTTACACGGTGCCTTTCACATCAGGAGAACATCCCAAGGCGCTGGACAGTCAGGGATCCACACCCGAGCTGGTGGTTGGGATCAGGAGGGGTGGAGGTGGGGGAGGGTAGGAGTAGGAGGGTTACCAAAGGCAATATAACAGGTAGGTATAAATGGCCGTCTCCTAGGGTCTTCAGTGGAGAATACCTCACACAGAACGCAGTCTTGGCCCCTGCTCCAGAGGTTGCTTCACCCTCCCAAATTCCACCAGCTCCTGCTCGAACCTGGGGATTGCGTGGTTTTGTTTTCGAGTGGCCCGAAATGGTGATCGAGTCCCAGCTCGTACATACAGTACAGATTGTAAGCCACCATTGCCAGGGTAGGGAAAAACGTTAACCCAAATCCGAATCCCCGATAGGCACTGCTCAGGCCAGCTGCAACCCAGTATAGCAACCTGCAGAGATGTACAGAAATTGTATTAGTGTCTTCGCGCGGTAATATGTGCGTGTGTGTTGCATTTTCGTGCCTGGGTTTATTATAATCCTTGCATGATATAGCACCTTATCGCGTCACTGAGACGTTTCAAAGCTATAGTAGAGTGGAGCGACTGTGTACTGTGTACCTTGTGGGCGAGCTTTAGGTGAGAATGATTATTGAAACTGGCATGAGGCAGGGAACTTGTGATTTAAAGGAAGATGAAAGACTCAAGTCCAGATGTGTTTCAGGCTGCCTCCTGACTGCTTCTCACTGCTAACATCCATTAAGCTGTGTTGCATTGGGCATTTGACTTCTGCTTTGCGATGCGCAGCTTTCAATTGCCAGTTGTTGAGATCGCTGCTCTACTCGGATTTCTGTTCAGCAAAAAGCCGTGAGCCGGAAATCAAAAGTGTGACACAGCCTCACGGATGTACGAGCATTAATTCCTGTTCGATAATTCAGGAATGTAAATCGCGTTATTCTACATTCCCAAATGCTCAATCTAGTTTGAATAAAACTAAAGACGTTACTAAGAACGAACAACCACAAAATCTTTCTTTTACTCTCCCATGGTTTTGTGTGCCGAGAATAATATGACAACCATGCGTTGGATTGGCATGCGATCTGTTTGTGGATTCTTGTGATGCATTTATTCCAAATTCCCATTTTAACGAGTCGTTTAACAAATGCTAAGGCTTCATTCTGCCGCAGCTCTAAGGGACACGTCATTCCCGTTTCGTTGCACGTCCTGTGAAGTGCTTTGAGTCGTCTCAACAACGCGATAAGGCCCTATTTCACATGCAAGGATTATGATATAACACTTACAATTGCCTATTCTTCTTGAACGGATTAACTTCTTGCAGCGGGCAGATTAAATCATTTAAACTAGAGATTAGATCAACTAGTAACAAATGAATCTAATTGGAGTGTTTTGCAGCTTCAGTTCCAGAGAATGCGTTAACGTTACGAGTACATCACCTTGCCACGGCAAAGAGACCTGCCAATATAGGAATGATCTTCAACTGGTCCTGGCGTAAATAGGTTGTCATCACCAGCATATTGAGGCAATAGATGGTAAACTGTTCGATGGAATTTCCAATGTATCTCTGATGTATAAGAACAGCACGAACGTTGCTGTCCAGGGGTCCAATGGTGGGAGAGCACAGGCGGGACAGAGAGCCCATCAACACACCTAGAATAAACCAAATTGGATTAAAACCAATACATAGACACTACAATTTATAGAAAACTGCTTAGAAGCGTTTTGATGTGATAAATCGTGTTTTGCCCAACGATTACATGAAAAGGTTCTATATCAAATGCAAGGATTATTATAATAAATGCAAGGATTATTATAAAACATTTTTTGGACTGTACAGAACTAAAACAAAACCAGTTAATCTGTCCAATGCCACTGGAAAATAACAAGATATTTGTTAAAAGAAAACAATGACTCCATCTCATAACCTTCAATTAAATTCTTCACCAAATAAGTAGCAATCAAATTTTCTTTCTTTGAATTGCTATTGAAATACTCTCAACGTTAATTTTTCTTTTAGACACATACTACACTTTTGCTCACTGTCCCCCAGTATATTCTGTGAAGTGCTTTGAGACATCTCGATGTGATAGGACACTATTTTAAATGCAAGCATTATTATTCTAATTCCACTTGGAGCAGATAACTATGGCAGGCAGGTTCTTACTTGTATGTCACTGTTGGTAGAAATGTGGCACATCGTACAAAATAACCCAGTCACTACACTTTATCGTAAATGCTGGGAAGCACTTTGAGACATCCTGACGTGAGGTCACTATAATCAAATGCAAAGTTTTTAAAAATTGATTTTCATGATTTTTATTTCAGTCGATCATAAATACGCACCGGTAAAGTACAAGGTCGCAGGATACAGAAGGGGCACAATCTCCCTGATTGGGACAATTCTTTTCCATTCGCTTGTTAATCCGTTTAAGCCACGCAGTGCTCACGGGAAGATGAAAGTTACTGATCTCACTGGACAGTGAGATCCAGTGAGATGGATAACATTACCAGCCTGTTCAGTTACTCCGCAACCTCTCGGGATCTCTGTGCCATTCACGGCTAATTGACTACAATTAATGTCACACGCATCATTTACTCCCAACTACGTTAAACCCCTGCCTGGTATTCGCGTTGGAATGGTCATTCAATTCTGTTCAGATAGATACAGGAACATAACACCACATTTCCTGCAGAAATATTCCTTAAAACTGAAACACAACGAGCTCTCGGAGAACTATTGGGGAGACCACCTTGTCTTTTTTTTATACAGGCCACATTTTTTACCCCTGTCTGATTAAAAAGGTAGCAATCCCTCAGCTGTAAGAATGAATTGGCTCTCTGAGCTGCCTGCCACCCTTTCTTCAATCAGGCTCTGCGGTGGGTGATTTATGTCAGGCATCTTGCGGATATGGCAGTAACAGCAGGAACAGCTGTGAAATACTTCAAGTTCCTTCATTACTACAACTAGGATGAAACAATTACTGTATAAGGCATGAGACAGTGGTTAGAGCACTCGCTTTGCAAGCGAGAGACCCGAGTTCAATCCCCGGCAGAGGGCGAAACCTCGGGCAAGTTTCCTTACTCCACACAGAGCCTAATAATAATCCCTCCAAAAACCCAAAACAATAATAAATTGGTCATTTTCAATCCATGACTGTTTGTGGGACGTTGCTGTGCGCATTTGGCTGCCGCGTTCGCCCACAAATATACAGTCAATTCACTTTACAGTGTGTTCTGTGAAGCGCTTTGGGACGTCCTCCCGACGTGAAAAGTGCTCTGTCAAATGCAAGGATTATTATTATTATTATGAGAGGGGACAACACACGTTGGTGATATTCTGTACTTGACAAAAAGGGAAACTTACTTTGAAGTGGACTGAGCAAATGAAACCGACTTAGTAACACAAGATGCTTCGTTCAATTTTACTGCCAATAATAGTTTACATAGTGTCTCAATGTTTATAAATAATTATATTTATAAATAAGTTTATTTATATTTATTTATCGTATCCCTCCTGTATGTTGATGCGTATATATTTATATTTAAATATATAAATTTATAAATAAATATTTCTAAATCTATCAATAAATATTTCTAAATCTATCAATAAATAGTTATAAATCGATCAAAAAATATTTATAAATAGATAAATAAATAATAATTCGGTCAGTCAATTCACTACTGTATATTCTGTGAAGCAATTTGAGACATCTCGGAGACAGGCGTGATAAGGCGCTATATCAAATGCAAGGATTATTATTATTATTAATATTATCCAGGGCTCAGGTAATGATATTTATTGAGTTGAGACAACAGAAGCCGAGTCAATGCATTGGGCCGACTGGTGCTGGTCAGGGAACAACAGCTGGTGCCTGCACAGGAGGGTTGATTCAGTGGTGACCTGTATTTTCTGCTCTACTGATGGCAATCACAGTTTGATTTGGCTTATTCTGAGGCTGGACTAGAAGTTAAAGTAGGGATAAAGCTTCTGGGTCTGTCATAAATAGTGTTAAGCTCATTCTTACTCTGTACTATGGTGGCGAACACCATCATTATGTTAGGAACCCATTGTCGGGCAGGAATTAGATCAAGATAATAATCATAAATAATAATCGTTGCATTTGATATCGCGCCTTATCACGTCTTCGAGACTTTTCATCATCATTATCACTATCATACAAACTGGTCCATTTATACTGGCTTTATTACTGTAAGTGGAGTTGGGGAAGGGGACAGCTGGTTGTTCAGCCAGGCAACAGGTGAGGGCTCAACCATTTGGGGCAGGGAATAACTAGAGATTAATATGGACCCATTGGTATTTTGGATTCTTTACTTCCTTCCTCAAATGGACTGTGTTTTCAACCAGGAATATCTTCCGAATCCGAACTTACCGTGATATAGTTTCTTCCACCATTTTTAATGAAGTCAACGCAATCCTCTACGCGCAGAAAATCACTGCACCATCTGACGCAGCAGAACGGAGTTTGCGAAATAACTAACGGGTTCCTGATTTTCACCACCTAAGGAAATGTTACATTGCACC